TAACGTCTTCAGTACCGAATTCACAGTCGAGACGGTCGATTCGAAACAAAAGAAGAAGTACAAGCAGACCTGGACTGAGAATATGAGCAAGATGGGCAAGGCCAAGATTACCGACATCAAGGGGGACGACTACACCAAGGTCAGCTGGAAGGCCGACTATGCTCGCTTCGGAATGGCTGGAATCGACGACGATTTCGAGGCCATCATCAAGCGCAGGACCTACGATATGGCTGGTACGCTACGGGGCATCAAGGTCTACCTGAACGGCGACCGCATCAAGATCTCGTCATTCGCGAAGTACATGGAGATGTATACCAAGTCGATTTCGCGCGATCAGGGCAAGAGTGAGGACGACAAGGAGAAGGACGTCATCATCACAGACAAGCTTGACCGCTGGGACGTTGGTTTCGCCGTCTCTGATGGTTCCTTCAACCAGGTCTCCTTCGTCAACTCGATTGCGACCACGTCTGGCGGTACGCACGTTAACCACATCGCCGACCAGATCGTCGAGAAGCTCATGGCGATTGTGAACAAGAAGAACAAGGCCGCTGTCAAGTTGAAGCCTGCGCAGATCAAGAACCATCTTTTCCTGTTCGTCAACTGTTCCATCGTGAACCCGGCCTTCACATCACAGACGAAGGAGCAGCTCACGACCAAGGTCAGCCAGTTCGGAAGCAAGCCAGTCCTTAGCGACAAGTTCCTGAACGCCATCGCCAAGACTGAGGTCATCCAGAACATTATGCACTTTGCGCAGCAAAAGGCCGACCAGATGATGAAGAAGACCGACGGCAACAAGCGCAACCGTATCAGCAACGCAAAGCTCACAGATGCCAACAAGGCAGGAACCAAGGACGGTCATCTCTGCACGCTCATTCTCACTGAGGGTGAATCAGCCAGTGTACTTGCTTTGGCTGGTCGTGCCGTAGTCAACCAGGATCTGTTTGGTGTCTTCCCGCTTCGTGGTAAGCTCCTCAACGTCCGAGACGCAACTGTCGACCAGATCATGAAGAATGCCGAAATCCAAAACATCAAGAAGTTTATGGGACTTCAACACAAAAAGGAATATACGGTCGCCGACATGAAGAGCTTGCGTTACGGTCATCTCATGATCATGACGGATCAGGATCACGACGGTAGCCATATTAAGGGACTCCTCATCAACTTCCTCCAGTGCCAGTTCCCAAGCTTGTTGAAGATCCCCGGCTTCCTCTTGGAGTTCATCACGCCCATTGTCAAGGTCTGGAAGGGCGACCCCAAGAACCCGCGCGGTATGAAGAGCTTCTTTTCCATGCCTGAGTACGAGGAGTGGAAAGAGCAGCACCAGCACGAGAAGGGATGGGATCACAAGTACTACAAGGGATTGGGTACCAGCGACATTCCCGATGCCCAAATCTACTTCAAGGATCTCGACACCCACATGAAGCGCTTCCAGGTCATGCGTGATGAAGAAGAGAAGCTCATCGAGCTCGCTTTCTCGAAAAAGAAGGCCGACGCTCGTAAGGACTGGCTGCGTGACTTTGTGCCCGGTCAGCATCTCGACCTTACCACACCCGACATCTCGTACGACGACTTCGTGAACAAGGAGTTGATCCTCTTCTCCATGGCTGACAACGTCCGATCGATTCCCTCGGTTATTGATGGTCTGAAGCCCGGTCAGCGCAAGGTTCTGTACACCTGTTTCAGGCGAAACATCAAAAAGGATGTCAAGGTCGTTGAGCTCGCTGGTTCCGTTTCTGGGTCCACCGACTACGCTCACGGTGAAGCGTCTATGCAGGGAACCATTGTCAACCTCGCACAGAATTTCGTCGGCACCAACAACATCAACTACCTCGAACCCAGTGGTAACTTCGGTTCTCGTCTCAAGGGTGGTGCCGATGCTGCCAGCGCCAGGTACATTTACACACGCCTGTCGCCATTTGCACGACGAATCTTCCATGGCCACGATGACGCACTGTTGAAGTACGGTGAGTCAGATGGCCACAAGATCGAGCCTGAGATGTTTGTTCCAATCTTACCCACGATTCTCATCAACGGTTCGAGCGGTATCGGTACTGGTTGGAGCTCTGAAATCCCCAACTTCAACCCGATGGATATTATCGACAACATCAAGCGTCGCATGCAGCCAGGCGCTACCAAGGAAGACATGCTTCCAATGATCCCATGGTACAAGGGCTTCAATGGTACCACGACAGTGCTCGGTCCTGATCGATACCAGTTCACTGGAGTTGTCCGACAAACTGGCGACAACGAGGTTGAGATCACTGAGCTGCCAGTTCGTTACTGGACACAAGACTTCAAAGAAAAGCTTGAGGAGATCATCAAGGCTGAGAAGGGCCCTTCATACATCAAGGACTACATCGACTACAACACGCCAGACCGCGTCCACTTCATCATCAAGATGGAAGACAAGTACATGGCAACAGCTCTTGCCAAGGGCCTGGAAGAGATGTTCAAGCTCTTCAAGCCTCAGTCGACTAGCAACTTGGTCGCTTTCGACGCACATGGACGCATTCACAAGTACGCGAGCGTTCTTGACATTATCGAGGAGTTCTACCACGTCCGTCTGCGATACTACGAGAAGCGAAAGCAGCATCAGCTTCAGGTCATGGAGAAGGAGCACCTGAAGATGACGAACCAGGCCAGGTTTATCCAGATGATCATTGACGGCAAGCTCACCGTCTCCAAGAAGAAGAAGGCCGTGCTTGTTCAAGAGCTCAAGAAGCTTGGCTTCACTCCATTCCCCAAGGTCGAGGATGCCAAGGCTGCTGGTGAGGTCGAGGATGTCCAGGAAGATGACTCAGAAGAGACTGAGACGGAAGTGTCCGCGAACGACTACGACTATCTGCTTGGTGTAAGTGCCACTAAACCTTTCCCCAATACCAAAACTAATATTTTCTAGATGGCTATCTGGTCTTTGACCCAAGAGCGTGTCGAGAAACTTTTGAAGCAGATCGGCGAGAAGCAACATGAGATCGACACTCTCATCAAGCTATCACCAAAGGACATCTGGACTGTCGATCTGGAGGCCTTCATGGACGAATGGAATGTCCAGCTGGACGAAGAGGTCAAGCGCAAGAAGAAGATCGCTGCCATCACTCGCCGACCTTCCGCAAAGCTTGGTATCGGTGCAGGCAAGGGCAAGGGAAAGAAGAAGAGAAAGGCAGACGGCAGCGACTCAGATGACTCCGGATCTGACTTTGGCCCGGTTAAGAAAAAGGCAAAGCCAAAGAAGGAGGGGTTGCTTAGCTATCTCCAGCAAGAACCAGTCAAGAAGCCTAGTGCGGCGGAAGCTCTCAAGACCAGCAGCGCGTTTGGCTCAACTGCACCACAGAAGCAAGGCACTTTGCTCACCCATCTAGTCAAGAAGAAGGAGGAGACGCCGCAGACGGAAGGCGGAGAGGATGGTAGATCAGCTTCCGCAGACTCTGCACCAGCACCAGCTAAACGGAGTCGCCCTACCGCTGCAAAGGCCATCAAGAAGGATCCGCTTTCGGACGATGAAGACTCGGACGTATTCGCTGCAGTCGCTCAAGAAGCTGCAAAAGAGCCTTCCAAGACCACTGCTTCGCGCACTGCTCGCAGCGCAAAGAAGCAGGCCCCCAAATATACCATGGGCAGCGACTCCGACGATGATGATGACGACGACCTCCTCGGCGATGTTAGCAGCATGGTCAAGACCATCGGATCTGGTACGAATGGAGTACCCATGTTCAAAGCCACTACCACTGCACGCCCAGCAGCACCCGTAAAGAAGAACAGCCCCATGGAGCCCATCGAGATCGACGGCGACACCACAAACTACGAAGGACTGATGCCTCAGTCTTCGCCACAACGCCCTCCCCCTCGCAACATCCACGACACGATCATGAGCTCCGACGAGGACGACTTCGATCTCGGCGTCAAGAAGCCCGTCGCTAGCAGACTTACCAAACCCGCCGCAAAGCCCAAAGCCGCAGCCGCTAAACCCGCACCCAAGCCCAAGGCCGTTGCAAAGAAGCCCGCTGCCCAGAGCCCTGCCGCGAAGGCTTACCCGAAGAAGCACGGCAAAGACGCGGAAGCTGCAAAGCCTGCGGCCAAGGCGAAAAAGCAGATCACTATCGACTCTGATGAGGATGAGGAGATGGAGGATGCGGACGCCATTGCTAACGACATTCTGTCTGATGAGGATGAGGATGAGCCGACTCCCAAACCAGCCAAGCGTGCTCCTGCTGCTCGTCCTGGTCGGAGGGCTGCTGCTAAGCCGGCGAAGTACGTGGTTAGCGACGATGAGGCCGAGTCGGATGAGGCTTCTGAGCCTAGCTTCGATGATGACGATGATAGCGAGTAGATTACTTGTCTTGCCGTTGGGCGCATGTGGGTGGGTGTTTTATACCCGGTTATTCGGCGTTATAGGTATGAGGCAAGAGGTCTCTCTCTTCCTAAGGCGGTGGAATTGAACTAATGGTTCACGGGGCGTTTATCGTCGTTTCTTTCGATATACTTTACTGAGTGTGTATTTACCAAGAGTATATTTCGGCATTGCTCGACCCATCAACTTTGTGATTGTATATGTTGTGTGTTTAATGCTTGAAGATGTAAAACAGCCTTCGGTCTACTTACCAGTACGAATCAAGTGATGTGGCATTACACGGATATCCTCCTCGCGTCCTTGGGGAGCTAGATGCCTTAAGAGTCTGAGACATCAACGAGATATACGCCTCTAGACATCTCGAACCAGAGCACTGCATTTTCCTCACACGTTCCAGCAGCTTCTACCTACCCCTGGCACTACACAGATGCTACTGCATCTCATCAGTGAATGCACAGACTCTTCTCTTTCTCCAAGCATATCGCACTAGACCCGTTTTCCTAACTATACATCTGCTACACTACTAGTGTCTACACGCTGATAACAGCCAGTCAGACCCCAAGAAAGCATAGCAGCTATTTCACCTTCTCAGCTTACCTGACGGGACTCCAAGGAAAACAAGCCCCCAACCACACTTCCACAGGGAGTCGACATGGATGTCGACAACATCTACATCTCCAACTCCATCTCCTACACCCTCCAGACACACGGGATGTACCTTCTACGGGCCGCATCAATCCTGACCCTCGCCACACTCCTACCTAGACTCCTTGGCTTATCGCACTTGATCCGCGCTACCATCTTCCTCTGCACTACCGCTTACCTCGTCTTCTCCTTGCACCAGTACCTCGTCCACGTTCCCGCAGATGAGGACGATACGGTACCGCCAGATGTTGATACTACGCCTAGTCTGACTCGAAGGGGGAAATTGACGATGCAGACTTCGCCTACATTTGAGCGAGTGCGGTTGGAAGGGGAATCCACGCCTACGAAGGCTGTTGTGTGGGCGAAGAGCCAGGCGTGGAAGAATAACGGGTCGTTCAGACGGAGGGATGGAGACGAGAAGGAGCAGTGCTAGATGTACATCGAAACGACAATTCAGACTTGCAACGAACAAAGACTGGACAGATACGTGGAGAAGTGCCCGCGAGGGAGACTGCGAAAGGATTATCTCGTTATCTGTAGGTATATCTACAGATCCCGTAGCTTAGTCGGAAATATGGAGGAAGAGAGAAGAAAGAGGGCGTGCAAAGTGCTTGGAAGGCTTGCAGCGCGTCTCTGATTGAACACTACGGGAGAATCTTGACGGTGCCATGTTGGATAGGGATACAGCTTTGGGTTTGTAAGAAGGCACTTTTTAGTCACAAGATGAAGCGGAAGCGGGTTGTAGAGATAGAAGTGGGATATTGATTTGTTTGCAAGTTCAATTGAGGAGAAGAAGACTGCCGTGAAGTCTGACACCAAATTGATTCTGGGCTGACTACTTCTTTCCCAAAGCGAGATAGCAAACGGATACGACGGCTTCAAGAACAAGCGTCATGATAAATGGTAGATAATGTCTGCTAAGCGACGGGGAATGTTGGAGGCTTGTGGATGTCGCGGGCCAACCCATGAAGATGACGTCATAATGAACAAACTCATCCATCGAAGCATCAATGTGCGCTCTTGTGTGTAGATTCAGTATCGTAATTCCACATCATTAACTATACTATTATTACAACGCTAAAGATCAATGCAAACGCCGCATAACGGTCGTACACGTGTACTGGTATCCTAGAAAAATCTTTCCGACCATCCCAACCAGCATCGGCATCAAGCACGATGTATTGTCCACCTTCATATCATACATGCTCCAGGTTGCGCTACACGACTTGGTGCAAACAGGCTCAGACGTCGCTGACATCCGATCGAGTATTCCAAGAAGCGTCGGAGTAAGACTTGTAGGTATTCTAAACCTGGCTCATGGAGGGACCGCCACGGCGGATACCGCCGCGCAGGTTGGCGCCGCTGCCGCGTCCGTTCATGATGTTGAGAGCAAGGGTGGCGACGAATGCGGCCCATCCGAACCAGAGGAAAGCAGTGGTCGCCTGAGCTTGACGGCAGTTCTGCTCCGTGTTTGCGGAGCTGTTGAGGACCTTGTTGGAGCGGGTGTATCCCTGAACAATATTAGACAATACGATCAGAGCAAAGGTTCAAGAAAACTTACGGCGTTGGAGCAGCTGTGTGCGCCAATGTATGCGGGAAGCGCGACGGCGGCGCAGAAACCGAAGAGGACGCTCAGCCCATCCATGGCAATGTCCACGATGGGAATGCTGAACTTCTCGATGAAGGATGTGGGCAGGAAGTATAGCAATGTGAACAACCACCATACACCGACGAACAGCGAGTAGTTGATGATGGAGTGGGTTCCGTTCCACGCGCGGGCAATGTTGTTGCCCATGAATGCGGTGACGAGAACGGCGCAGATCAACTTCGGCATGTCAGTGAGGTTCTACGCTGAGTAAATGCCATAAACATACCTGCCAGGCGCGAAGGCCCATGGAAACAGCTCTTGACACCATATTGCTAATGTGTATATGAGAAATGTGGTGGTTGGGTTGTTGTATTGATGCAAACGAACTCAAGTTCGTCGTTTCTGGCAAGGCGTTAGGATTGCGGTGGAGATGAAATGAATCGGGTGGCTGTTGTGGATGAAGCGATCTGCTGCAGAAGGGCTGGGCTGGGGCTGGAGAATTATAGCAGTCGGCGGGAGGAAGCGGGTCTATGTGGCAGCGTCATAGGACCCTGGGCGACCAGCAGTGACGTATGAGGGTCCAATCGTCGCTTCCCACTCCACTCCGGAACCATCGGTACTTGCCTTGTTGGTAGCGCCGATCACGACGTGCGGATCTTCGACGGACGATGAAATGGAATTGCTGGGTGGTGTTTGTTTGCGATAAAGACGGTCGAGCGCCGAAGTATCGCTCGAATACTATATATGATTCTACGTTGTTACGCGGCTGTTCTCCTGGTTGCTGCGCAACAACAGCGATGATGCAAGTCGGCACAGGGATGTCCATCAGCGCTATCAGCCACTGCTGACGCCCCTAGGCGCTTCCCTCGCATGACCGCACCGTCACTCTAATTCTTTTCTCCGAGGGAGCTACTGCAGTCTTCTACGTAACAGCTCATGCTATGACATGCGCTGTGGCTTCTGGAACGTCGCCGACACGCAAAGTTTGTCTTGACGACATGAGGTTTGATGTTGGTTTTGCACGTGGAGGAGGTTTGGATCTGCGGATACTCGCTCCCCGGATCGACGACGTGATCGCCATCGTTGCGCTCCGTGCGAACTCTCGTGTGACGCGGATGGACCATGTTTGCAAATCGTCCTCGCACGAGCATGGACGGCGAACCAGTCATGGCTTATGACTTAGACGTCATCTTTTTGGATTGAAATGCCCTTGCAGGGGAAATGCTGTTGCAGCTTATGCGCTTTATAGTCTTGCCTGATATCGTGAAACGTAACGGACGTGTTTCGATGGGCACTCGGCCTTTTCGCGATATTGACGTTTCTCGGAAACCTTCTTTGTGCCGTCGAGCATGCGAGCGTTTTATCGACAACGCGACATCCTGGCTCGCAGACTTTGCTCAATGTGGGGTGGATTAGTAACATCAATCCATCACGCATTGTCTACATGTCAAGTACAAAGTCCAGTTACATGCCTCAATAAAGCATACATGTATCGTTATCTACATCATAATGTCCAACCCGTATCTGTATTGCAAAGACAAGAGTCTCAGTCTAGGCGACTTTTTCAGATTGGCTGTCCAGCTACCCATCGCTGCCCGAGAGCAGGAGGGTAACATAGACTAATCGATCTTCGACATTCGTGTACTAACTGACCCCTTCCCATACCAATGAAAAGGCTTTGAGAAGACGGCTTTATGTCGGTTGTGCGAAAAGGACTTGTCGTAATTCTATGAGCTAGGTGCGGACTATTGACCGAGATAACGCAGCACCGCCGCTTGAGGTGGCTCTCGGTAGGGTTTGGGTAAGCGATGAATTCGAGTATCACATTATCTACGTAGCCATCCGAGTGCGTTATCGTTGTACCATATTTGACCCGAGGCTCGAATGTGGCCTCCAGGAGTGCTCGAGGCCGCTCGTACCGACCTGGAAGTCATTGGGGGAGGTGGGATATAGTTATAGAAGCTTCGGAGGCCGAGGCTGCGTCGTTCTGCGGCTTCAAGAGCTTCTTCTGGCAAGGCTGCCGCGGTGACGGTGGTGGTAGTGTTGGCTGGGGAGAGACGGAGGAGTTGGAGCTGAAATTTTCAGCCAAAAAGCGGTTTGTGGGCCGCCGAAGGGGTCAAAGCGGAGGCAGGAGGTCGGTGCAGGCGGAGCAGGCGGAGCAGGCAGTCCAGCAGCTCCGGAAGAGAATCCAAAGGGAAGGCAGCAGTTTGGGAGGACAGCCAGGAGGCATTGACCTTCTTCAGCACTTCCACAGCAGTCTGTTTGCTTCTGTAAAGGTCAATGCTGGTCGCTGCACCCTTTTGGTGACCACAATGTTATTCGGCTTTACCTTTCTGGTTGTCCAAGTTCTAGCCTCATCCAACAGACATAGCTCTAGCACCACCTTCCTACTCCTGCATGAAAGGTAAAGGCGGAGACGATGTAGAAGCTCTTGATCCTAAGATGCCTTCCCCTGTACCCCTTATGATGGTGTTGTGATGTTGTGATGTTGGCCTTGGTCCTTCCTCGGGCAAGCGCTGGTGTTGTCCGTGATGTTGCTCGAGCCTCGACCAAAACCTCTCGAATCACCCCACGCCCTTGAGCCCACCGACCCATGATGCAACCACTGTGAAGCCATCAGGAGGCTGTAGTTCTTCTCTTTAGACATGGGCGGCGTCGACTCCCTGTGCCTCCGCCTGAAGGCTTCCGCGATGTGGTTTTGACATCGGCAAATCGCTCCCTCAACTTGCCACCACAGGACTCCCGCCACCCAGACGGCCCATACTTAGCTCCTTGATGAACTCTCACACTACTAAGAGCTCTGCCACCAGTACAGGAACGGCAACGTACCCAACGAGACCGCTTCCAATCTCTCCACCACACGAACCGGACGGCAAGCGGAAGACACTACGCCTCCTCTTTGCCTCCCCGCGGAGAAGTCTTCAACGAACGCGAAAGAGACCATAGCGCTTCACATCGTCGACGCCCTCGTACCAAGGCCGGCTACAGGGCCGATAACATTGCGGTGCCTGAAGGGACACCAACCTACGCGACGCCGCGGCTGTTGCAACAACAAGTCTTATCGAGGACGGCGGGACAGCATGTCAACGTATAAACTACCTCCAAGATGCTACTTTTGAACACAAAAGGCTGGCTGGACAACACAGAAGCTGAGTGGAAGCCCCTCTACACTCCGCAATCATGGTTGCAACACGTCCTATACCCGACGGCGAAGCACCACATCGACGCAGACACCGCCTTCGAAATAATGCTCTTGGACATGAAACGCTGACCAGGGAGTACAGAAGTGGGATAGGGTTATCGGCCTCAAAACGAACAGAGTTTATCCTATAGAGTGGAATTAGCTCTCGGAAGCGGACACGATAGTCAAACGTAGACCACGGCCACCTCCACGGAACATTGGCAAGCACAAGGACGAGGATACTCGTTGGCGCATCCTCGCCCGTACCCCGCGCGACTGCGAACGATAACCCTGCGAGGCTTCGAGTCGTCACAATACAAACGCCACCCTCGAGGCTGGTGTGGCTTCCTGTGGTAGGCTGGGACATCAACAACGCGGAGAATGGTCCATCTGTACGTACTTTGCGAATACCACCAGAGGGGTCCAATACGAGCATGCACCAGGCATCCCTATACAACCATGCGGAACGTTGGAAGCCGAGGGGCATGCGACCTTGATCGGAAAGCGGATCAGAACTTCGGGGCAAGGTACCGGTGATGCCGTTTGGTGTCAACCGGATGGCCTTCACATCGGACCGAGCACTTGATCGGTATTCCAAAAGAGGTTCACCAACGTCGGTTGTGGCAAGGTTCCTTCTAGTCCAGCAGCCGAATCCGTTGCGATACCATACTTCCCTCAAAGCAGCATGCAATTCTGGCAAACAGCTTGCAATGACAAAGAGGAACCTAAGAGTCCACTTCCGAAGAACGAGCGGCCGTTTGGATGAGAGCATCCGGCGGCGAACAGCCGTGCGGGCGCATCCTTGACTGGAGGTACCGCGGAGGTCGGTTGTCCTCAATAACGCCAATGCTGTGCGCAAAATGCGGGGTTGTCAGGATGCCTCGCAGCCAATATGCAAAGCCGAAAGAGGAGACTGTCCAACAGCATGTTGTGCCTCGTGTGCTCGACACCAGCCAAAGACACACTGTAATACCCTGTCGTCTGCAGATGGCGAACACGTCGCGAACCACTCAGGAGTCTTCGCGGCATATGTTGGTCCCTAGCTCCAGGAACGCTCGTCGTGTAGCCATCGGTTGCAATACGTATATCAAGGCCGGCATCGAATAGGAGAGGCCCAGACGTGCCCACAAAGATCAACGCGCTGAGCGGGGCATGCCGCGGGTGCGTCAAGCAGCTAAAGAGCTTAGTACTGAGGCCATGGATGTCGTCGAGACCGCGTGACCTGTTACACTCTAGGGCTGAAAGTGTCCGCAGTGCTGCTTAAAGCTGTTCCGGGATGCGATAGCCTGACGGGGATGCAGCGTGACTGATGGCGCTTGAAGCGAAACAGAATGGCGTGCAGCAAGCATGAAGCCCTAGAAGAGAAGGGATGGATGTCTTCCGACGGGCCCAACCGAGTCCAGACAGAAGAAATGAGGGGTTCGTTGACGAAACCCCAGCCATGCAGCCCAACGCATTGTCGATCAGGAATTGGGCTAAAGAAGAAGAATGAATCCTGATGAAAGTCGATGAAGCTGTGTCGTCGAGAGGTGGTTACAAAAGGTTTGACGAAGACTCACGGTTGGATGAACCGGGCCCTGTCCGGCGAGCTTCGCTACCCCCCAACAGCGCAGCAATTTGCAGGAGTTCGCCTGAAGCATACACGGCTAGCCAAAGTTGGGATGGCCGTCTCCGCATTTCCTGCGCAACGACCCTTCACAAGCCCCTGACCCTTGGCCAGCCCGGTGAGCTGCAGAAGCCTCAAAGGCGTTGCATGTCTGCGTGTCTCAGAGACTTACGTCTTGTCTCCTGTAATGAGCATCCTGCTTCGCCTTCCTCCTCTTGCCTCCCTGTCAGCCACATTCGAACGCTTTTGAGATCGCCATAAGCTCGCCGCGCTTGGACTAGTGGAGTCGTCTCCTGATCTGACAAGGCGCGCGGAACGCAGGGTGTCTGCCGCGTCTGCTTCCCAACGTTTCGAACGATCGCCAAGGCGAAACTCTGCTGCTGTCAGTCTGGCCTCTGCGGACAGTGCCCTCCCTATTATATTCTCTTGTTCTGCCGTCCATGTCAGAGGGCGACATGTGCTTGCTCTAGTAGTCGCACGTCCATCCTCCGAACATTTGTCCTTGATCTGCGGGACAGCCTTGGGTTTAGCAGCGTGGCGCTTCCCCACACTCCAAGGACCCGGTGCCTTCTTGCCGATCCTAGGCTTGTGTGATTCCATGCGACGACTGATGCCATAGCGGATCGTGTTCGTGTTCGATATCTTCGAGAAGAAAGACTAGGGATAGACTGGTTCAAGAGTTTGGCGCTTGGTTTGCGACGTTTTGAGGTATGTCTTCGCTGATCTGCGACGGTTGTGCCCGCGCAGCTTCGTGTCGCAGAGCTTGGGGCTCTCGTCCAGTGCTAACCGGCTTCCAAATCAGTTTGTTTGAATAGAGTCATTGTGGGATAGAATATACCAGGTACGTGCCCCTTCCTTTGGCATTCCGCGTCGTGCGCACGTCGTCGTCGTCGCGCCCGTCTGCTGCGGCGACGCGTCTGCGGCGTATCCAGGCTTTGCGATGGCGTGCATGTGTATGCAATTACCATGAGGCTGACGATGTTGGATAGGATATACCGCCCTTCTCCCGATAGATCTGCTTTGGGCATCGAGCTCCGCGTCGCGTAATTCTCTAGACAAAGTTCTGTTAACTAGGTAAGCAAAATCAGCCTTTCCTTCTTTCCCTTACTGCAGCTGCTCTCTTTGGTGTAAGCGTCTCTGCATATGGCCCTCGAGCGCGCTGGTCGGGAGCGAGTGGTGTCGTAAAAAGATGTCGGGGTATGTACCGGCGTTGGCGGAGTTGAGGTTGTGCGGGAGTAGGTCAGCGCCGTCAACACCACGCACTGCATCACGGCTCTGGACATGTACAAGCACCCTATTCGCCTCGGAAGAGTCTCTGTAGGATATTCTGACGGGTAGAGCTGCTTGCATCAAGTTCTCGGGGGTGTCCAGATGGTGTGTGTGCGGGCAGGGCGACAGCAAGCCAACTCTCTTGAGCATTGTCACTCGAACAGCAGCATCATTCCATTCTACGTTCCTACGAGGAGCATCATTGGGAGCAATTCAAGCTTTCTGCTGTCTTCATTCTGTTATTCTTCCGCGTGGCCTCTTCCTGGCCCCTATGTTCATTGCTAAGACGACTGGCCGACAGTAATCTCTAAAGCCATCCGTGCACGGCGTTCCTGCCTCGAGCATCGCCAACGGTCTTTCCTCCAGCGCTTCAAAGCGGTAATCAAGCCAGCTGACTGTCGCATTTCGGTGCTGGCTCATAAACCCCGCTACTGGCGTCGTTTTCTGCTTCCCTCTTCCTCCACCACCATCTTTCCCATCATCTCACTCCCACAAACCTCATCACGCCCTGCGTCCGATTCTGCTTGTAGAAGCGGTTGCTTCACAGCTTTCTACAACCCCTAAACGTCCTGAAGTGCCGCATCAGCACCATATACGCTGCCAGTCAGCTTGTTTTCAGGTCGTCAGGTACGCATCTAGCAATAGACCCATCTGCTTCCGAAATCTAAAGTCAAGGTATGTATCCTCATCTCATCTCAGCACCTTCCGCTTCTCGGGCACATGCGGCGCTCGCATTGTTTGCATCGTGGTTTGGCCGCATGCCATCAGAGTGCCCCGCCCTTCACCTACGCTGGCCGGCCACCTTCACCGTTTGCCCCTACGTGTGCCTTCACGTCTACCTTTACCGCCGCCTTTACCTGTTTCACCCTTAATACCCCGCTTCTTACCGTCCCTTCTGATGACGTCCGCGCTAACATATTGCGCGTTTGCGATTAGAGGTGAAGGAGACATAAAGACACACCGCCTGCCTAGACATTACATCTTCTTACACCCTCGACCACGCAACATAGCATCTACCCTGTGCGTCACAGACATCTTCTGTGTGCAGGAAGTGTGCATCAGGACGCCCCCCTATTCATCCCCATTCCTGCAAGACTTCAAGGTACGTCAAACAACTGTCCTGTTGGCTTCAACAAGGAGATTGTTGACATTTTCAAACTAGACTATTCATCATGAGTTCAAGCGCTTATAAGGGTGGCTTGACCGTCGGTGGTTCAGCGCTCGAGAAGTCGAAGTTGCAACTCCGTCGTCCGACCCCTGACAGCGATGTCTTGGCGTCCAGCGACGACGACCGCGAGCACGTGCCAGTCGTTACTCGCCCTGCGCAAGGCTCCTACCCTCTTGGAGTTCGACGTCCCTCTTCTGGTTGGCTCCAAGATATCCAGCCCAACCGGAAGTTCTCGCTGCCCTCGGTGTCATTTGCCGGCTCGCAGCCCACCACGCCGTCACTCGAGCTGCCCCAGCAATCGCGCCCCAGCACGTCGTCATTCCCCTGGAATACACCTAGCTTCAACGGTTTGAATCGCCCGAATAAAGAGATTGCTCCCTCCCCTACTTCCGCCTTCGCTCCTACCGACAAGCCCTTTCCTTCTCCCACCACAGTTGAAGGCGACGACGGTAACGGCATTGGCTTTTTGCTCAACCAGCAAGCTCCCAACCCTTTCCGCAAGGCTGTCCGCTCGCAGTCCTATAGTATAGGTCAAGGCGATATCGAGCACAGTCCTGTCAGCCGTTTCTCCCGCCAGCCTAACACCAGCGCAAATCTCCGCCACCGACCCTCTAAGCCCAGCCTGCTTGGTGAGTCCGCTGTCGGCCTTTCGCAGCTGCGTGAAGACGACGCCGACGAGATCGAGTCCTCCAACGGCTCAGAGCACGGAGTTCGCCTGCCCGCCGGTTACTGGGAACGTGAGCAGAAGCAAGCCTTGCTCAAACAAGCCGCCATGGAGAACGCTCGCGCCCGCAACCGAGCTACCTCGACCGGCTCTCCCGTCTCACAGCTTCAGCAGCAGCGCCGCAAGACCACTGCCGGTCTGCGCAACACCTCCTACAACGCCGCTGGTGAGTATGCCATCGAAGAGCTCGACGACACTGAGCCTGCGGTCAACCGTCCCGCCCCAGGCCTTACCCGTCGCTTCAGCGAGCATGTTGGCGTCCTCACCCGCGATCACGAAGTCGAGATCGTAGACAGCCCCCAGAAGCCCCAGTGGACCACAGGCAACATCTCACCTGCTGAGATGGACCCCCTCGGCCGCCGTCATTCGTTCGCCCACTACGGTAGCTACAACTCAGCCATGCCGCTCTCCACCTTGAGCAACACTCAGGAAGAAGAGGAAGAGTACGTCTCACCTCGGCAGACCCCACCTAGCAACAAGGACGACGAGCCTTTCGACGCCTCTGCCTACTTCACTGGCTACGGCCCGGCCTCGCGCGCTATCAACTCCTCGGCCATCTCGGCAGCTCACCCCGATCCTGTCGTACCCAACGTAGCCATGTCTGCTGGCAACCCCTATGCGGTCCCTCCTAGAATCGGTAACCCCACCCGCCGCTTGTACATTGTTACCTTCAAGTGCTCTCGTGCCGACATCTACTACCTTTACGACAACACCGGCCTCGAGATCCGTCGTGGCGACCTTGTCATCACCGAAGGCGACCGTGGATGCGACCTGGGCCAGATCACTCATGCCGACTTGACCATGGAGGAGGCTAAGAAGCTCAAGGTGGAGGCGAACGAGGAGCACTTCCGCTGGCTCGTCATGTTCTCTCAGTACTCCCTGGCCGGCACCCAGAACGACTCCGGCATGCTGGGCGCCCTCGCTCGCGCCAACGGATTCCCGAACCCCATGAGCCGCACCGCATTGACTGCTTCGGGAGAGCCTGAACCTTTCAAGCCTAAGATGATCAAGCGTCTCGCACAGGCCCATGAGATCTCTGCGTTACGTGAGAAGGAGGGTGGAGAGGCCAAGGCCAAGCGTCTCGGAGCTCAGAAGGCTGCTGACCACAAGCTGCCCATGGAGATCCTCGATGCTGAGTATCAGGCGTAAGTCAAACATGTCCACCTTCTTGTTCGTCATACTAACATCTTCAGTGATTACCACAAGCTTACCTACTTCTACTACGCGGAGTCGTATGTCAACTTCAACGAGCTCGTCACCGATCTCTTCAAGCAGTACAAGGTCCGCATCTGGATGTCGGCTGTCAACCCTGCATCAGTCGTCAACCCTGCCGGCATGTCTCAGATCCCCCCGCCCTCTGCCATCGGTCCTGGAGCTATCATTACATCCAACAACGGCAATGCTTCTTCCTCTGTCGGCCCCGGCTTCGGCTCCAGCACCCACCGCCCCGCCCAGCAGTACGGTAAGTCTATCGTCATCTCCTTTCTACATGTGTTTGATTGCTAACTATCGCTCAGGTCAAGCTCGCACCCAGGGCAACTACGGCAACTACGACGACGGCTTCCACGCGTTCTCCCACCAGATCCCGGCCTACCCTACCCAGCCCTCGTACAACATGCAGCCCTGGTCTCACGGTCAGCAGATGCAGCCGCAGATGTACCGTAACTACTACCCCAACGTCACTGCGAGCGGCAGCCCGATGAACTATGGAGCTGGAGGCTACTATCCACCTTCGACTTACACTTCGTCATACGGTGGAGGGTATGGGCCTGCTACGACTACTGCTGGATATGCTGCCTCGCGCAACTACACCTCCAATACCGGCCACGCCTTCGGTCATCAGCATCCTTCCTCGTACAACGGCGGCGCTTCGTATTCTTCTGGCGGTGGCTACCCCAATGCCTACGCCAACGCCCAGTACACCTCGAGTACTCCTGGCGGATACTATGGCACTTCAGGAGGGCGTGGCAATGGCAGCGCTGGCGCCTACGGTGGTGGTCAGACACCTCCTTCTGGAGGTCGCCCCAACACTGGCGCTGACAGCACCTTGACTGGTGCTATGCAGAACATGTCATTCGGTAACTAGGAGAACACGATGGACTGTCAAGTCAAGTTTTCTCCAAGGTTTCTTTTCGGTTATTGATCATTATATGGTATTTCCTTTTCCTTTTCATTTTCCTTTCACCCACGATTCCAAGGCTTATGTAGACTGCCGGGCAAGGCAGGTCATTTCCCCTTCTTGATCTTTTTTGCTTTCACTACCAAAAATTTCCCACGAATGCGTGTATTTTAGTTATATATCAGATCCATATGGCGAAATGAGAATGCTTCTGGCACCAAAACCCTGTCTTATGTGAACATTGTGGTAGTTGCCAGGCCTATATATCAGGTTGGAGTTGACCCTGCCAAAAACACTGAATACCTCCTGGCCTAATTTTCGTCAAGTGTTTCAACACCTTGACGACCTCCCGGCTTCATTTTCAGCCCACTTCCCAAAGCTCGTGGTGTGGGTGAGTACCTCCTGGCACCCCAGAGAAAAACCCCCCAAAGCCCGTGGGATAATTGAGAACCTCCCGGCCTATATTTCAGGTTTTTTCTGAGAACTAAAAATGTGTTGAATGTCTACACGCCTACCCCAAATATTGACACTAGGTGGCACCTTCCTCACCCACCCTACCCTCTCATCTAACCTTTTCACACACCTGGCCTCCCATCCCAACCATGGCGCGTCGGCATGCCTCACCCGCGCCTGAGAGCCAGCAGATGCTTTCACTCAGTCGTCTTCTCGAGAAGCCAAAGAAAGATGACACGCAGATGCAGGAATTCCGCGCCACGATAATTGCTGATCAGAAGAAGTACGACACACTACTAGCACAGCGAAAGCTTCAAGCGTGAGTCAATCTCTGATTATCTGCAATGCTACTCTGACAACCACTGTAGCGAGAAGGAAAAAGAGCGCCGTCACGAAGAACTCGCATCCACCATCGTCGAAGCCCTGCAAACCCCCAACCGACCAGCAAAAGGCGCACCAGACACCTTTGCCGGCACCCAAATCGCAGGCAACGCAGTCTACACTTCGGTCACCAGCATCCTAAGCGCATCCGAGGCCCTCGTCAACGCATACCAAAGGCTAGACGGCATGATCGCGAAACTACGAGAAGAGCAGCCCGATACCATTGCAGACACATGGAAGCAGGACATTGAGGACACGGACAAGCAACTCAAGAAGGGAGCTAGAGTCGCGCTAAGAAATGTCAAGAAGGTGCTGGGAGCGGATGTGGAGGACTCTGCGATGATGGACGAAGATGACGACGTGGATATGGAGGGAGGCGAAAAGGTTCAGCTGGATTACGAGTTGCAGAAGAGTCTGAGGTATGCGGAGAGGGGTGTTAAGAGGATGGTCAAGGGATTACCGATGAGTGATGGCTGATAGGTATGGAAGGTATTGTAATATTCAAGGCGATGTGTGGGTGGACACGAGGAAGATGAGATACATGGGCATGGCGATGGTTCAGACAACCCATGGTAACAATGCAGATACCTGCAATCGACGGATTTTGACATGTTACCTAATTTGGACTATGCGTTGGACAGTGCGGAACACCAAGATCCGACCCACGCAAGAGCAGAGCGTTGCTTATGGGAAGAACCACATATATGCAAGCACCATCGCTTTACTCTCGTTACAAGTAGCGAGACGAGAACATCGCCTTTGAACTTCTTTCAAGATTTGGTGTTCGCACTTCCGCAGTCAGGCTCGGCGGGGCCATGTTCTTCTGACCGACTCGTGTCAGTTTGCGCGATGCCTCGTCAAGCTAGCGCCTCGCACGGCCCCGCCCACACAGTGCGAAATACCTGTCGTATCATCTTTTCGCAACCTCCAGCACGACAGCGTCGACAATCTACTAACCAACAGTCAAGGTACGCCGCTCCAATACTGCTGAATCTCTCCGACTCCTTACTAACAATACCACAGATGGGTGCCCTCAAGTGTAAGCGCACACCGAACACCGCAATTGCCCGCTCGTAGCTAATCCGCCGTAGATGTCGAAGAACTTCAGAAGAAGAAGCAGTCGGACATGATGCGCTTCTTGATGCGCGTTCGCGTACGTATACACAATTAAGCTAGACGAAGAACTCTGCTAACATTGTAACAGTGCTGGGAGGTATGATTATCCCGAGACCCATGTCTCAATTGGTGTACTCGTTGAACTTTGCTGAGAGTGCATCGATAGCTTCGCCAACTTAAGGTCATCCACCGCGCAAGCCGCCCCTCGCGTCCCGACAAGGCTCGCCGTCTCGGATACAAGGCCAAGCAGGGTTACGTTATCTACCGCATCCGCGTCCGCCGTGGAGGTCGCAAGAGGCAGGCTCCCAAGTACGTACAATCGATATCTTGAACAGGAGGACAATGCTAACATCGTGCTTCTAGGGGCGCCACCTACGGTACGCAACATGTAATCGGATAACTGTAGAATGAAAAACTGACAATCGAACAGGAAAGCCTACCAACCAGGGTATCAACCAGCTCAAGTACCAGCGCTCTCTCAAGTCCACCGCTGAGGAGCGTATCGGCCGCCGCTGCGCCAACTTGCGCGTCCTCAACTCCTACTGGATCAACCAGGACTCGACCTACAAGTACTACGAAGTCATCTGCGTCGACCCCCAGCACAAGGCTATCCGCCGCGATCCTCGCATCAACTGGATCACAAAGCCCGTCCACAAGCACCGCGAGGCTCGTGGTCTCACCGCCACCGGCAAGAAGAGCCGTGGTCTCGGTCGTGGACACAAGTTCAACAACACCACCGCCGGCCGAAGGAAGACCTGGAAGAGGCACAACACCCTCTCCCTCTGGCGCTACCGTTAAATGCATTGAGCATATGGTGTGCTTGGTGCAACGTCTGGTCGATTGTTTTCAGCGTATGGGCTGGCGTGAATGGAATAGGGTGTCCTGGGCTACGTAGCTTCCTAGCAGCAAAAAAGCTGTCAGGACTTTCAAAATCAATACCGGATTCATGATCTTTACGAAGACAATACTTCAGTTTTTATCTATTGCGAGGTGAAATGTCAGGGATCAAATGTGAAGACGCTGCTGCGGTTGAGGAAGGTGTCGTATTGATCATGTTCAGAAGGAGCGAGTGTGCCTTGCTGTAGCCAAGAACGAATACAGGACTTTCACATGGGTAGCTGACCGGTACCGGTATTGGTAAGACAGCTGCACCATCGACGTCAGACGTACGGCAAAACCAAGATTAATGCGCTGTACTCGCTGTGACCTTTCCCGTGCATGTTTGGATGATTGCGATATAAATGATATTCGAGAGCCCAGAAGTAATTAAGTCAGGGTTCTTCTCGCGGCCAGGTCGGGCGTTGCTAAGCGTTGCCGTAGGCCCCTCTCAGCCAAAACATCAGCCCAAAACACATGCAGAGCACCTCGCCAGCGCAACAAGCGACCGCAGCTCCAATAGACGCAAAGGGTAACCACACCTCTCTGCAACACTGACGACATGCGGCTGACAGGGTGATAAATCCAGACTTTTGCTGTTTCCGTGGTCCAGCTTCCATTACACAATGTGCCGACGTCCACGCGCAGCCAGCATCATCTGAGCAGCACTGCCCTGCCACACGACAAGGCAGTCAACGGGCAACCCCCACCAGGCTGCTTGACGACTAGAGCTGCCTACAAGGGCAGAGCGCGCGCACTGTGCAACCTCCCGCTAGCCTCCTCATTCACATCTCTCTGCAAATACCGCCGCCATGGTCAAAGCCGATGCCACGCGAAACTACTATGCCGACCTGAAGGTATCCCCGACGGCCAGCGAGAACGAGATCCGCAAGGCCTTCCGAACGCTGGCACTGCAGTATCACCCAGATCGCAACCCTGGCCGCGAAGCCGAATTCGTTGTCCGCTTTCAAGAGATTCAGGCCGCACACGAGATACTATGCGATGCAGGCCTACGGGCAAAGTACGACGCCGATAGAAGGAAATACCGCAATGTATCTGCCCCTGGCCATACCCCGAACACACCGCGAACGAGACCGCCGCCGCCTCCCAGGAACGCATACACTACGACTACCCCACAGGGCTCTTACTATCGCGCACCTCCGCCGAAACCACAGCCGCAAGCCCAGCGCCCTCCCCCACCACAACAACATCACAGCACATACAACACCGGTGCAGACAGGTTCACGGGCAGAAACTTCCGCGCGCCACCAACAGCGCAGCGACCAGACACAAAGGCCAGGGATGCAGAGGCTCGCGCGAATGTCTTCACAGCATGGCAGAAGATGAAGCAGCCACGAGGCGAGGACCCTCGACAGCACAACCCAAGCGCCCAGAATAGTCCGCACACCAATCCGCAGAACAACCCCAATGGCACCCCCTTCGGCCGCAGTCAGAGCACCCGGGTCCCGTCGTCCAAGACTGGGTTTGACCCATCAACACCAGGCGTCGATGAAGGCCAGGCACGATCAGCGTATAGGAACTATGCCCGTCCGGCCCCAACGCCACCCATGTCCACGACTCCTGATATAGAAAGCCATGCCGATGACGTCCCATATTCAGAAGCCAACCGCGTTCGCACACCATACCACTCCCACGTAGCAGGCGAGCGTACCTCCATGTTCGAAGGTCTTGGACGATCGTCCAGCGTGCGCAACTCGCCAACACACTCGCACCGAGCAAGTTATTCGCAAGATGCCGGCGCCTTCTCGGACTCGGGTCGCAGGACACAGGGGAAGAAGCCCAGCGCGAAGCCGAACCCATTCGCTCACGGATATCCCGACTCTAGCGACGAAGAATCCGACTCGGAAGCGTCCAACATCGGCAACAAACACCGTGACCCTCCTCCACCACCTCAAACCACAAGACCGCCTCCGCCAACCTGGGCAGAAGGCAACTTCACAACTCCTGATCCGAAACGACAGGGCAACGGCGCGCCAGGGAACATACCCAACAGCTTCAAGAGCAGAAGTGAAGAAAGCATTAACTTGAAATTCTCGCCTTCGGACTGGCATGGCAAGTTCGAAGGCAGTGGCAGTTACTTTGCTCCTAACATGCAAAAAGGTGCCAACGGAAAAGGCCGAGCCTCTCCAACCCGCGGCAGATCACAGCGAAATGCGACAGACCGTAATCCCTTCAGTACACGACCGATGGACCCGCCTCCCGTTGCGCCGAACGGACAGCCAATACCTCCCCCTCCACCGGGACCACCGCCTGGCGTCAACTTCGCCCCACCTAAGATGGCGCCACACACTGCCAAATTCAGTCCTCAAGCCTGGCAAGAGACGTTCAAGGATCCAAACTGGGTATACAACCAGGAGAAGGAGACATCGCCGCGTCGACCATCAGAGGCTACGAAACGTCCAAAGGCTGCGCGGAAGGCTTCGGTACAACAGAACGGAGCGTCGAAGCCTCAGGAGTCAACCGACACTTCGAGGTCCAAGTACCAGGCCTTTGCAGAAGAGCCAGCAAGTGGTGATGTAGATGCCATGGATATTGACCCTATTCCACCACCAAGTGCGAAGCCCGCGAAGAAGGGAACGCGTACATCGCCAAGATTAAACACGGCAGGTGCTGGCGCGATACCTAATGGCGCTGCTACTGCACCTTCTTCTGCGACCACTGCAAAACCGCCAGCCGAAGGACTGAACGGTGTTGGTCCAGACATGATCAACCCGGTCGTGGAGCCTCAAAGCAACGGACTTTCCGGCATGGGATCTGTAATGGATTCTCTCCCTTTCCCTTCCGGCGCATCCAACTTACATCCTATCAAGTCAGATGCTGCAAAGAACCTCAAGTATCCAGAAATACCCGGTGCACCTACCCCACCTACCAAGCTGGACGTGGCTTCCGTAAACATCTACTTCGACCGCATGGGCTCCTATGTCAAGTCCTACAGGAACTACTGCCAAGTTCTTACTAGCCACTTTGCGGCGCGGAGCAGCGAGATGGAAGACTTGGATCATCACTTCATCCACAACCGCGGCGAGACTACCAGGGGAATTGGGTTTGCGAGCTACATGGCTAAGATGGAAGAGGACGAAAGTGTCATGGAGACATGGAAGCTTGCGCAAGAAAAGCATATCACTGCGCTGCAGCAGTGTGCAGATGTGCGGAACAAGACCATGAAGTTGTACCAGACCCTACAAACCTGAGCCTGGCGCTTTGTCGCTGGCTTGAGTTTGCAGGTGTGCTGACGTGTCCTAGAACGGGCCGTTGCCAAGGAGAGGGCAGGCGCCAGGACGTTCGTGACGTTGTCGAAGAGCTGCAGGAGTTCACTTTGAAAGAGACGCAGTCCGTTCCTACGCATGCAGCATCTTCGCGCCGGCGCACGTCTAGTTCAGTTCTTGGAATGAGGATCTCGAGTGCGTTTCGCACTGCTGCACGCAGTCCGCCGAATATGGACGGCGGTATCGAGATCTTGACAGGTAGAAGTGCGCCGAAACCCCAGCCACTGCTGTCAAGGAAGAAGAAATATCACGTTCTTGGGTAGCGATGGCGTTTGGGCTGAGCATTTAATACCCCTGATGCAATTTGGGACTTCATTGGATGTCTTCACGGTTCTGTACGTGTAATAGTAGTGGTATAGATATCGGTTATGATGAAAAGTAGGAATCAACGATGTAGTTTTTGGATACACGTAACAGCTTCTTACTTCCCTGCATGTCACAAGCACCCTGGATCCGCATCTTGCGCGAACTTGACTCCCGCGGTTGCAGCGTATGACGCCGCCGACCCGAGGCAGATTAGCAGTTAGCACTAGAAGCACGCGCTTGTGCGGGCGGAAGAATAGACGGCTAAACACCACGCCGAACTTCCATCCATCTCTTCATCCACTGCGGACACCATTGTACCGCGATTGAGCAATACTAAGTGGTATGACCGTCTTGGATCCAACTGCAATTTGCTTGGCTTCAGGATAGCCGTCCCGCCGGGTAAATAGTAGAGCGGCTGGCGCATCGTGGGGCAGACTACCCCTCCATTCATAAGGGCCCATGGGGAAGGCCTACGTATAGCTATATAACGTTGCTGCCTTTTTCAATTCCAATTCGAATATATCTCAACATCAACCAGAACTGAAACACATAAACAAATACAAACAATCATGGCAGACAAAGAACCAATCGTAACCCACGTCTTCACCGCGGACCCCTCCGCCCACGTCTTCAATGGCAAGCTCTACGTGTACCCCTCGCACGACCGTGAGACAGACATCGCCGACAACGACAACGGCGATCAATACGACATGAACGACTACCACGTCTTCAGCATGGAAGAGGTCGGCGGGCCCGTCACCGACCACGGCGTAGCCCTCAAGCAAGAAGACATTCCATGGGTGCAAAAACAACTCTGGGCCCCCGACGCCGCGTCCAAGAACGGGAAATACTACCTCTTCTTCCCCGCGAGAGACAAGGAGGGTATTTTCCGCGTTGGTGTTGCGAGCGGCGATAAGCCTGAGGGGCCGTTTAAGGCTGAGCCGGAGCCGATTAAGGGGAGTTTCAGTATCGATCCTGCGAGTTTCGTGGATGAAGATGGGAGTGCGTATTTGTATTTTGGTGGTATCTGGGGCGGACAGCTGCAGTGCTGGAAGACGGGGAAGTTCGTCCGCGAGGACTACGAAACCATGGAAGCGTCCTCTGGCCCGGCTCTCTGCGCAAAAGTAGCGAAACTCTCCGACGACATGACATCCTTCACCTCCGACGTCAAGGACGTCGTCATCCTCGACGAGGCCGGTCAACCCATCCAAGCCGCCGACCACGACAGGCGGTTCTTCGAAGCTGCCTGGATGCACAAGTATAACGGGAAATACTACTTCTCGTACTCGACGGGTGACACGCATTTCCTGTGCTATGCGATTGGAGATAGTCCGCTTGGACCGTTTACATATGGCGGGAGGATCTTAGAGCCGGTGATTGGGTGGACGACGCATCACAGTATTGCGGAGTTCAAGGGGAAGTGGTATTTGTTTTACCATGATAGTAGTTTGAGCAAGGGGGTTAACCATCTGAGGTGTGTTAAGATTAGGGAGATTGTTTATGATGATCAGGGGAAGATTAAGCTTGCGGAGAGTCAGCCTAAGGTTATGTAGAGGGTTGCTTGAATTGTGGCTGGTTGCTATGTAGGATTGATAGCAGGATGGGAGGATGGGAATCATCTCCACCAAAAGAACTTTTTGATCCAACTCAACTTTCTGCGTTCAATGGGATACCTCCCCTGCTTCACAGGTTCCTCTTCTATTGTCGACATCGACACATCATCCCTCTCCTCCTTACACCTCCTCTTCCTCTCCACCGCCCTCTGAATCTTCTCCCGCTGTCTCTCCATCTTCCTCTGCTCAATCCCCTCCATCCTCTCCCTAATCCCCTTCGCCAAAGCACACCTAGAACTCCTTTCATCCCCTTTCTGCTCAAACACCACCGTCCACTGCTCTGATAAGATGGCTGTGTCGACGCGCTGATTGGATGCATTGAGTGGGGCATAGCCGGGTAGGTGTTGCATGACTTCTTTGTCGTGGTCGGTCTTGCGGAAGAGCAATCCTGGCGCGATCATACTAGCTATAAGGATGAATTTATACGCCTTGTCATCGATCGAGGCAGCCAATCTCTTTGCGAAAAGGTGATGTTAGTTATACTTGGTACTTCATTATCAGCGGTATTGACTTACCATCACGAGCTCGAACCAGACCCCCGCGTCCACTCACAGGTACAACTTTACAGTCTTGAAGTCCAGCTAGATCGTTCTTGAACTCAGCCATTGGATCCACTGCACCGTCCTTTGTCTGCAAGACGTAGGCATTAACTTTCAAATGATAAGAGTCCAAATCCGGGTTTACGCCACTCTTCCAATGTTGCTCGACAGTCGCGCGCATAGTACGTTCCAGTGCTTCGGCATCAGCGGCAGTTCCCTCATCTCTTTGAACAAGTTCAACATAGAGACTAGAAGATGCGTCCTCAAGTAACAGAAAACTGAGTGCGTTGATGAAGATCTCCACGTAGGGTTCGCTAGCCATGGTTGAATTGCGGTAGTAACTGGCCGATACTACCATGTTAAGAAGCATCATGAGATTGCGCCTGAAAAGGCATAAACTATCATACAACCGACCCATCCACCCAACAAACAGAAAAAAAAAAGACGGCGAAAGCCTGGGATATATAACAGATAAAAGAAACCCCACTAACAGTACCTTATACACTCCTCCTCGACATCCCATCTCTTCTTCCTCCTCTCAACCTTCTTCCCTTCTTTAGCCTCCATATCCTGAAGTTCCTTCAACTTCTCAAAATCGATGCTCTCCTTCTCCTTCTGCTCATTCTTCTCTTTAGCCTCCTGTTCCAACTTGACCAACTCTTCTATATCTTTGAGTCGCGCTTCTTCCTGCTTTTGCCGATACTCCTCTTGCGCGTTGAGACGGCCTTGCTCGTTGTCCTGCTCGAGCTCATGTAGCCACACGCCCTTGCCATCGTTGAAAACTTCTTTGAGTTGAGGCAAGGTGCCGCAAACGCCGTCGACCTCGCCCCAGGGCAGCCAGGTTTGCTCGGCTTCGGTCCATATGCCGCCTCGTCCGCCGCGGTTGTCCCAGTAGCGATCGCCGCCGACGAGGTGGTTGTGGTAGCCGTCTGAAGACTGAGGCGCGCGGAAGTAGTTTCTCAACATGGCGCGTTTGTGGTCCGAGTACCACAAGTTATCCCAGGTTATGTTGGCGGCTGGTGGACGCTCGCCGCCCGAGTGCGAAGAGCTGCTAAAGATGATGGCGGGGACGGAACCGGTGTATGTGTTCTGAATCAGAGGGATGCTTTCCCAGGGCAGCTTGCGGCTGGGCAGGCCATCAAGTTCTAGCGTAAACTCTAGATTGTCAATGTATGCTGGCTTCTCATTGGGAGACGGGTTGTGTTCGACGAAGTCGGGGCGCCAGAATGGGGTCTTGGTCTCGTTGAGGGCGGTGGGAAGGGAGAGGTAACGGGCGTCTGAGTCGGAGTGGCTATGTTGCGATAGGTCGGTCGAGTTGTCATGTAAGAGAGGAACGAGTTCGTCTTCGACGCAGTAGTCCAAAGGTTGGAAGAGCGCATGTGTATAATCCAGGCCAATGGAAACCTCATGTCGTGTGGTGTTCGAGAGTTCGGCGTTGCCACGTTCCAGTCTTCGCTCGGCTTCTGACTTGCTCGTTCTGCCTGTGAGGTATTCTTTGACTTTGGTACCCGTATGCTTCGATGCCACTTCCTCTGCGTCTCTCCCGAGCTGCTGCTCGGCGAAGAGAGTCGCGAATACCGACTGCACCGTCTGCGACTGACTTCTCCCCTCCATAAACTTCTCCAGGGCAACCTGATACAGGATCCTCAAGTCGCTCGCCGGACCCATGAACATTTTGGAGTGGATGAACTTCGCCGGGGTATCTGATAGACGTCGACCTTGCTCTGTTCCGTATGTACTATCCGATAGTATCGATTGAGGCACATAGTTGCACGCCATGTCATCATTCTCGCAAACCTTCTCTGCCCCGAACACGATTGTCTGGTTGAACTTCTGAACACCGTCCTTGTTAACACCATACTTCTTCAATAGCCGCATATTGGCGTCTTCCAAGAGCCTCTTATACTGCGTGACGATCACATCACTCGGGAGCTGGAACCACGACTGTTGTCCGTCCACGATAAGAACCAAGTCATGGTCCTTAACCAGCTTCTCATTGCTCAGATAATGCAGTGTACTGTTCAATGTGTCCCTGTCCCATTTGACGTCCGACTCATATGACTTATATAGTTGTACCGCAGTCGGTGGGGGGTAGTGGAGAAGCATAGCAGACAGAGTCGTCTTGCAGAAGCCATCTGTGTCGTGCTCGGACGGCATGAGGAGGTGGAAGTTCGGCGTCGTCTTCTTGAGTTTTGGTGGTACGTGGTCGAGTTCGCCATTCTCGATCTGCAGCGTAGTGTTTGAGGGAGTCTTGAACGGCGAGTGTACTATGTCGGGTAGGGGCTGGAGATACGGTCGCCATGGGTAGTACGAGGAAAAGTTATGGTATCGTGAAGATATGGCCTGTTGGAGTTAGCTTGGACCCCGACAATGACGTTCAATCCTGGCGGGGGATGCTGCATATCTCGACGTCGTCTTCCCTGGCGTCTGTGACAGGTTGAACATACCTCGTGGTTCCTCATACCCGTCAGTCCAAGCAGAACTGTGAGAAGTGCAATCGTCAAGACCATCATCCTCCCTCTTCGCGTGCATGCCCATTGTACGGCGGCACTTCCAAACTCTTTGGACGATTGTGTCGGAGACATTGGCAATGCCAGCATTGCAGCGCCTGCCATTGTGGGTGTTGAAAGGAAAGAGCGATTCGACGACCTGTGACTCCCTCGCTGGTGGAAGCGGAGATGGTCATACTTGGTCCACGGCCAGGTGGGACGCGCTTTCTGTATCCCCTCTGTGTCCCTTCCGTCTGGTGTCCCTGCGTCCCAAACGGCAGGGTCTCAACACAGATAGTCGTCGTCACACGTCACGGTCCGATCATGAACGCGCGTAATCTCCACTGAGTTGCAGTCCTCTGTTTCGAAACGATGTGCCAGCCATTCTGCACGCGCGCGCAAGGGCATCTCCATAATTGTGCGAAACATGCTGGAAACGGCTTGTGTGTAATCCTTACATTTCCTAAAGAGAAGTTGAGGTCAAGAGAAAGTCAGTCATGGACACGATGATAGCTGTACCCCTGTCTGTCGCGTCGCGTCGCTAATCTCAACACGGGTTAGAGGCGGAGCCGCTTCGGCAGTCTTTGCTTTGCAGATCCGATGGATCATCAGGAACGTTCGTCATAATTGCCGCTGCACATGGCCGTTCGCATGTGAACTACGTGGGGATCCGCTTATGATTGCTGTAGCTTGGGCAACATCTCCAACAATCATCTGAAGAGATTTCAGGAGCTGCAAATCGATTGCACCTACGATCTTCCAAAGGCTAAATCTGGCAGCTTACAGCTAGCTTCTTTCAAATTTCGAGGCTGACAAAAGAGAAATTGTGCGCTGATCTGATCATTTGTACAACCTTTGTGGAGAGTCGTACGACAACTTTGTCGCAATGGCTTGCGCTGTGATGGGAGTCGGTCAGATTCCTCGATATACGCAGCAGCCAGTGAGGGTTCATCGACACGAACCGTCAAGCTCCACCCCCTAAAACCCAGCGATGTACCGATGCTTATCCGTAACCTCAGTAACCTCAAACTTCATGCCAACCCTAAGATCCCCAACCGACTTCGGCACAGCAAGCATGCCATAGCAGGGCTTGTATGTAATCCCCTCGTCAATCCTTCGATACTTCATCAGCGCATCCCAGGGCTGCGTCTTGTGCTTCTCCGCCGAATCAGGATGTACATTAGGTACCTGACAGCGCGCGCATCGTTGGGTGATATCCAAAACTATTGGTTCCTCATCGACATCAGGCGTAATCTTGATCGTCTTCCAGCGATCCTCATCCCAGGGCGCGTTAGCATCGCCCTTAACGAGGATATTGGGCCGGAAGCGGCGGACGTCGATCGTGAGGTCTTCTGCGGCTTTGAGACGCGTGTTGAGTTCATCGATGCTGGACTGATTGCCGACGAGTACGGGCATTAGGTCGGGGAAACAGGTCGATGCATCTCTTCCTAGAACGGTAGGTGCACCGTTCGATACTAGAGGTCTGGGATCGTCGGAAACAGGGGGCTTGTACACGAGCCGCACTTCCTTATCGAAGAAGCTGTTGAACGGAGCGGTCATCTTCGTAGAGTATACACGGGTTCCCGTTGTCGTACTCCAGATCTTCGCTGAGTGCTCCTCGGTGTTCTCGTCGAGCCATTTCTGAGACGGATGAGCCGGGATTGAGAACTCCAACTTCTCATCGACCGAATTTGGCGCTGGCGCAGTAACGGTAAGGGTATCAGTCTTCTCGTCGTAGGTCGGCCGGATCAGTGTCATTTTGGAGTTTTGGCGGATCGTCAGGAACTCGTAGTTTGGATAGCTCACCCACATCCATTGACGATCTGGCTTTGTCAGTTTGAACGAATTCTGGAGATGATGGCGAGAGAAGCGCACCGAGGTCAAGGCCGGTTGGTAAGAGCCTTGCCGACTTTACACTGATGCCGTGGCATGACTTGATGGGGTGTATGAAGAGTCCCGTAATCTCAGTCGCTGCTGGTAAAGGCCCAGTGGTGCTCTTTGCCTGCTGGCTCTTGGTGAAGTAGATGTATGTGAGAATGGGTAAGACGAAGATCGATAGCAGAATCGCGACCTGCGTGGTGGCTGGGACCGCCATGTTGATGAATGTGTCGTTTTACAGCCAAGGTTGGACGGTTTGCACAGAACCCTAGGGAGATGTATCGACGACGAGGATAGCTTCTGTACAAGTTCTTTTCTTGAAGTGTAGTAATCAAGCCCTAGAGCGGCGTTCTTCTCGTATCGGACTGTACCAATACAAATCCAGCTGTAGGGCGTGCTCTGACAAATTCAGAACCAGTGCATCGGACCAGAGCAATACCAGAGCAGTCTTCCAAGGTTCTTTCCCAATTGAGTGACGCAGAGCGGAGTTTATAGCTAGAAGTGGCACTTCGTGACATTACGGCAATGACGCATTCTGCGGGGAAGCAACGGGCTAGCGCTGCCAAAACCTCGCGTGCGGCGTCTCCGCGGCAGTCGTGCATCGCGAGAGCGCGACCGCGACAGTCATACAAGAACCCTTATCCCCACTACAAACTCTCAGACCGCATCCTCTTGCGCGGCCTATCATCACCATCATCAGAATCTTCCTCAGAACCCGACAGCACGACATACCCCCCCTTCTCTCCCTCTTGCACCCTATTCAACCTTTCAATCTCCGTCTCCAACTCAACACAATACTTATCCAAATCCTGCGCCTGCTTGACCTTGACTTCCAACTCCCTCACGCGCTGATGTAACCTAATATTACTTTCCATACGAAGCATGCATTCCTTCTCCGCAACATCTGCACGTTGCTTCTCCTTCTCGACTTCGTATTCGGCGTCTTCCAAGGCACGACGTCGCAGCTTCTCGGTTGTCTCGTATTCCTTGAGATCGCTTTGGCAGCTTAGGAGTTGGGAGTCTTTGTCGAAGAGGGAGCCTCGGAGTCTGGCTGCTTCGCGGCGGGTGTCTGTGCATTTTTTGTTGGAGCAGAGGGAGTGGGGATGGGTTCGGGTGGCTGGGGTTGGGGATAAGCTCGACATGCGTCCTGCTGAAGGCGTGTCGCAATCGATTGCGCTGTCGGGAATTTCTTGCTCCCATTCTTCACGCACTCGTGGTGTAGACGGCATTGGAGTAGTATTGCCCATGTAGCTCCGATACTCCGCCCCCGACATACCCACCTTCTCCTTCGGCTCGTCGAATCGATCATAGTTGTACGGGTACCGCTGGTGCAAGGGACCGTTGACCGAGGCGGCAGTGGCTCGCTCTTGTGGTGTGTACATGTTTTCGTATCGCTTCATTGCTTCTCGTTGGTAGGCTACGCCTGTAGGCAGATCCGGATATCCTTGGTACGGGCGAAGTTTCTCAATTGTTGACAGAGTGACATATGGCCAGGTCTTTGGATCTTCCTTCTCGTAAGTAGAGATGGCTCGCTTGATGCTGGCATAGAGCCTCGAAGAGACGAAGCTGAAGGTGCCCTCGTAGCGCGGTAGAGGTGCCATCTTGAGTCGCGATCGTATTAGCCATTTCTGCTGCGCTTTTTCTCATGCTTCACATACCTTGAGAACTTATAGCGATGGATCGGGGGGTGGTGCTGCTGGTGCTACTGTCAATCGGAAGAGGCAGAAGAGATTTTGCTAGCTGTAGGGGTCGCTCGTCGTGACCAAACTCCCGCCTTTTCGGTCAGTCTAGAAGATTCGCGGTGAGAGGGTGAGCGCTCCTCGTTCACCTTCACCTCGAGCCATCTTCACCACTGGTCGCCATCGAGCCTTGGAATATTTCTTGTATTGAACGCAAGTTAACATAATCAATCGCTGATAAGAGCATGGGAATAGAGATATGGGCGTGACAGTTGCCACGCTATCGGCAGGCTCATGGGCCAGGTAGACATGGCGAAGAAGGACTGCAAAGGAACCAATTGTAAGCCAACCACATACGACACGGCCGTATCTTTGACGACCCTGTCGCTTCAGTACCATACCCCAAACTCTTGCTTTCGCCTAATCTGTTTCTCCGGAACGCATATAAAGCCCACATGTTGCCAAAGCAGCTCTCACGCCTCCGACTTCAACTTCTTCCGCTGCACCTCTAATATATCTTCCGTGGCCTTGTTCTTTTGCGAGGATGGTTCTTGAGCCTTCTTCATCTCCTTCAAAATCTTAACAATCCGTTGTTTCCCTGCCGCGATTCCCTGGTTCGCGACCGCAAGATCAGCCGTAAGCTTCTTCACCTCGGCATCAAGACCTTTGATCTCCTCAACCTTGGTCGCGACTACCGATCTTACGTCTTGTAGACTCTGCACATATGTGTTTTCTAGGTCGTCAAACATACTCTGAAGCTTAATCTTCGAGACCTTCGAAGATTTCAGTTCGTTTTCTAACTTCGTGACTCTAGCAGTTTCGTCTAACAAAGCCTCTTCAGCGCGAGTTTTCTCCTTGAGTATGTTTTCTGCGTGTGCTCGGTACATCAGCGCGTTTTCATGTCGGCTCTTCGCGATTTTAAATAAGCTGTTATATCTTGTAAGAGAGTTCTTCTCTACTTCTCCAAGCTTCTTCTGAGTGCAGCTGAGCTCTTCTTCCAACTTGGCGACTGTAGCAACAGAGGTGGGATCCGAGTCGGCAAGTACCTTCATGATCTCTTCGTAGGCTACATCCGGGCAGGCGTCTGGACAGCTATCCTCTGGTAGCACTTCTGTGGCATGGCTGTCATGTACGACGTCCTTGGTATCCACCTCTACAGTCGTAGCCCGTACACCACGACTCACCTGGCTCAACCATTCCTCGAGTTCGTCTGGCGGCATGTGCGGATGCGCCCTCAGCTCGCCGTTGCGGTCGTAGTTGAGCGGATAGTAGCGAAAGAGGTTCTTCATATTCCGATTCTTCCGACGATTGACAGTCCGCTGGCCTTTGAAGAGGTCGAAGCTCGTCCAAGTTCTTGATCAGGGATTGCTCGTACACCAGATACTCGGGAGGGACCTTGCTCTTCCTGTAGTCGACGCTGTTCTCTGTTGCAACGACCTGACGCACTAAGGGCCAGGTACGGGGACTGTACATGTCGTACTTCTGGGTGAAGGTCTTCATGTGCATTCGCATGAAGTAGCCATCCCATGTGAAGTCGCTGCTCCAGATTCCGCAGGGCTCGATGTCCTTGTCGCTCATCTTGTAGGATTTGAGGCAGAGGAACGATGATGCAGTAATAGAGGTTTGCACGAGATAGGGTAGATGCAGATGAAAGATACAAGCAGGTCAACATGATGAAGCGTCCTTATACGCGACCTGTTACCACCTGTATCGTCATATGGCTTCTCTCACTCCCATGTTCTGAGAGAGACACGGTGAGATGCCGCAGCTTGTCTCAGACGCCATCGGAAATGTCCGTCAAAGAACACAATCGCATAGCAAATACAGCAACGATCACCGCAACACATCTACCCCCATCCTCGCCATACCATCACGCTATCAAATACCAAAGTGAGACACAAACCCGCGGCACACCCTCGGCCCGACTCGCAGGATGCGTTGCATGTGGGGGAGAGCGCCTGCACGAGGGGGGCAGCCTCACCAACGAGTCAAGCGAGACAGCACGCTGCGGCACAGTCACAACGAAAAAACACGGCCTCCGACATCTGACTCGAAATGCAGGTACACTCCAGAGCGCGTCTACAGAGCACACTGTGCGGCGGCAGCAGGTGACAATATCGGTGACACACATGCAGACGAGACAATAGCCGTCTGGGGATGCATGGTGCATGTGCGTGTGCGTGTGCATATGCAGGAACGGGATATTGCATGTAATGTGTGTAACGTGAGTGACGACGACGCATGGAACACCAACGTCGATGTCGATGTCAACGTTAACGTTAACGTCACCATCACCGTTATCGTCACGAGGAATGTGAAGATACACATTTCTAATTTGAGAAATGAATTTGATTCTCTGACTGTATGCCCAACTCCCCAACCGTAAACCGTAATACCACAGATCCAGTGAAGCCGAACCTGAACCCATACCCATACCCCCAGATACGCCTAAACGCCCCCCAAATCTACCTATAATGCAAGAGACAAGACAAGACAAGTCGTCATCGTAAGATGAGGGGTATAGAAGTAAAAGAAAATCCCCATGCAGTGATTGAGTACATGTGAGGCCAGCGGCCATACGAACAGTCTTGTGTCTTGCGTTGGAACGCTGGTACGTGAAGCGACAGCGAGAGACAGTCGTGATGGTGCTAAACATGTGCATCAAAGAATGAAGTTGCAAATGCTGTGAACATAGTGAAGATGATAGTAGCGCGTGCATGTTGCCAGGACACTCAAAGGAGATTAGAGTGTCGGTAGCTCAGCCGCTGGGAACCGTGAACGCAATGGCAATGGGATGAAGGAGTGACGTGATGCGACGGTAGTCGCGATGCTGGGCGCAGCGACGCCATGGTAGAACTAAGCCTTTGCTGAAGTCTTCTTGACGGAACCCTTGTTGGAGACGCGGGTAGGGGTCTTGGGTGACTTTGCAGGTGACTTGGGTGACTGGGGCGACTTGGGTGTACGGGCCTTGGCTGGAGTCTTCTTGGGCGACGGGGTCTTGCCTGGGAGCTTAGGGAGGAACTCGATGGAGGGGACTTGTTCAGTCTCCTTCTCCTCGAGCATCTGGAGGATGACGTCGACGATCTTCTTGACTTCTGCGTAGGTCTTGTTGAAGCCGAGCCACTGGTCTAACTCGCGAAGGACGTCGATGGGCGCCTCGAAGTGCTTGCCGATCTTGGGGTGGACGCTCTTTTCGGCTTTGTCGTTGTTAGTTCCGGCGGCGACTTGACGAGAGTAGTGGTTGAGACGCGCTTCCTCGGACTTCTTGAAGGCGATGTCGTAGGTAGTGCCCGGGAACTGCTTCTCGATGACCTCGAACTGGCGGATGATGAGCTGGACTTTGCGGATCTGCCACTTGGTCTTATTGTAGGTCGCACGCTGGTAGTGCTTGCGGCAGAAGAGGGGCCAGTCGGTGACGTCGCGGGTACACGCCTTGTTGCGGCCAAAGTGGTCGGAGATGACCTTGCGCGACAGGTCCTTGGTGTACTGGCCAGTCATGCAGCGAGTGTGCTCGTCGTTCATGCAGAGGAACTCGCGCTGGGATTCGGGTACGTCTTCACCGTCGTCAAGAGACTCATTACTAGAGGCGTCGTGCTCGGCCTTTACTCAATTGATACCCGGTCAGTCTACGGATTCAATGGTGAAGTGGTGACTCCGCACATTGCGCAAGATGGGTGCAGATGGGTGGCTTTGTACTTACGAGGTCAGTCATGACGGTGTCAGGAGTCTTGACAGTGAGCGATGAAGGCTCTTCCTTGGTCAACTTAGGAGTGGAAGGTGGTGCAAGTATGAGCGCCGAGGTCATGTCAGGAGAATCAGTCGGGCCCGCGAGGAGGTTGTCGACAGACATCGCGCTGCGAATGTTGTCGGCTTGAGTGACCTCAGGTGTAAAGGTAGCGCCAGCGGCAGTGTCGGGGGTCTTGATCATATGATCGGTGGACATGTTGACTGAGTCCGTGAGTAGGTATATTACTAGAAGAGAGGACGACTGTTGAAGGGCGGTCGGCTGCACTGCTGTTGACAAGAGTTCAGTTTGTTGTTAAGAAAGTCTCGAGGGAGGTGAGCGGAGGCGGGTTATAAGTGGGAGAAAGAGTGTGAGGCGACGGTGCAATCGCGGCAGGCCGATGGGAAGTGAAGGTGACTCTCAAGTGACCAATTTTTGCTGTTTGAACAGACCGCCTGAGCAACCCGCCGTCAGCTCAGGACGGACTCAACCACGTCCCTGACTATTGTCCGTGATTCACATGTGCCGTCGCACAATGCAACGCACTGCGGCCCGAGGCCGCTTGACCGCTTGAGCCCCGCTGAACTGCCATCTGCCTGGTAACTTGGGCCAATGGTGAGCCCGTGAAACTCGCGGTACATGTCCCTACCAAGACAATCGTTTGCTCAAGCCCTGGCCAGCCTGTTCTTCGAGCCGCGTGAGTCCAACACTTGAAGATATTAATCATGGAATGGACGAAAAGATGAAGCAATCGCCGCAATCGCCAACCCGAGTGGCAACGAGGCACTATTGAAGCTGCTGTGCTGCCGCTCAAGGATGAATTACACTCAAAGTAGGCCTGCGGAATGTTGTTACAGTACCCACATTGACAAAATACGAACCAGACAAACTCTTCGAGTAGGGTTGACTGAAGTGAGGGAGTGAGGGGAATGGAGTCACGCATACGATGATTCAAGGCTATGGATGAAGCCTCAAGACGTGACAACAGTATGAATACGATTGAGTCAAACAATGTCCTCCACGCAAGTATGACGGCCCCCAAGTGATTGTTAACCGACCCAACCGCGATGGTATACGTCTAAGAGCTCAGAGTCGACAATCAGGGCTCTTACCAACAGTTCGCCAGCCCGATCCTTGTGAAAAGACTTACTTGCCGAAGGGTAGATGTAAGCGAGGATCTACGGCGTGGCATGAGTTGGTCCCCGTTCTAGTTCCCTGTTATCTAGGTTTTGACAAGTTCAGTGCCTTTCAAGGTTCCGAGGTCGCAAGAAGCCGCGTGGCGCTTGTGTCGAGGATTGGTGGCCAGAAATTTATGCCATCCAGCCATTCCAAAATGCGTAACTCTGATGTACCTGGCGGAATACCGTATACGTCTGAGGTTTAAGGCCGACATTGCTCCTCCACTATGATCTCCGGACCGAACCTTATTAACTACGCCGCGAAGGATTCCAAGCTGCCATAGGTCGCATTCTGACGGCGGCTATGGGAAGTTACTCGATTGGTGGATGCTCCTAAACATAGTGGAAATAATGCTAGTTCTTTTGCACTCTTTAGAGACTTGTGCTTTTGAAGAGATGCGCCACAAACCGTGGAGCGGGGCCAAAAGCGTTCATGAGGCTGAGTATCTGTGTTGCTATTCGACATTTATCTTAGGAACTTCGAACTTCGAAACAAATGTCCAAAGTAACATCACTGCGTATGTTAGATTGCATGCCTCAGCGATGCCAGATGCGATCTGAACAGACATGGGACGGACGGTTACGAAAGAGATTTCCATGTGGAGGATAGCGGATTGTATCACGCGTACGACTGAGGTAAGTACCAACACGGTCGGCGCGTAGAGTAAAGTAACAGTGGAAGAAAGCAAATTGTGGGTGTCTTATCTGGCCGCTACCGGGAGCATAGTAGCCCCGTGTAGCCTGTGTGTTTGGGGAAGGGGAGACAAATAAAGTCGAGAAGGGTGGAGGTAGTGATGGTAGGCATCATGATGTGGGAGGGAAGTGGCTTATGTCACTATCGGGCAAGCTACTGCCGATAAGCAGAAATCACGTGCGCATTCCGTCAACATGCCTAGCGTCTTTCGCGCTTGTAGCGTCAAGTAGTAGTGAGGAGCTCCTGTTCTGCGCATCGTCACGCCGCACGGCACCCACAGGCAAAACGCGAGACACGCCAGCAAACTCATGTTTATCGCTTGAGATGCGCCCACACGTCATTCCCACCACGCAACTTCTTTCTACACACTACATCCTAAGCTGAGCGCGTTCGCAGCCACTTTCCTCGCCTTACAACTCACGGAGCGCCCTCACAGCCACCATGCCCCCAACCACAGGCACCCGAACGTCTACGAGACAAGGGCGGGCTACGGTCCGACCTACAAACTACTATGCGCGCACCTTCGCCGGCCGGCTCGCAGCGAGCGGGATGGAGCAGACGCCCGAAGCTTCCAACAGCGCGCCCGGCTTCCTGCCTGCCCTCACACACTTTACAGGCGCCGTCGACGCATTCCCAAAGGAGATAATCAAGCATTTCTCCATGTTCAAGGAAGTCGAGGCGAAACTCCACGACCCAGAGCAGATGCTCACGGAGCTGCTTGACGAGATCGCCCAGCAGCCTGCCACCACCAAGGCGCAGCTGGCGGCTATAGAACAGGCTTCTACAGCATCCGAAAACAATACCAGCGTACGTTTTTGTTAGAGCGCACGTCATTCCTCCAGACTCACCATTCGCAGCTCAACCCATCCAACCCCGATAACCTCTCTCCAGAAGAGCACGCAGCGATCCAGAAGCGCCAGCTCTTCTTTCGCCTCCGAATGCGCATCGCCAACATGCTCCCCACGCTCGACGAGAAGCTGGTAGTGCTCCAGGGCGCCAAAGCCACCAAAGACAAGGGCCTCATGCGCATGCACCACTCCTTCTCCCAGCTCGACGGCGAAATCAGCGACGAAGCGCGATACGGCAGCCTCACACACTGGGCATACGCGGACAAAGAAGAGAAGAAAAAGGGCGGCCCATCCCACGAGCGACAACGGCGCGAGGTGGCTGCGGCGAACAATTTGGCCGCGGCAGCGCAGCATGTGCATGACGTCGACTCAATCGCTGCGAAGAGCGAGGCCAGACGCGAGGCCATGCAGGCCAACAAGCGTAGTCGACATCACCAGGTCGATTCTGACTTCGACGACCGACCCGCGAAGAAGCCACAGAAGAGGAAGCCCATGCCTGCAGAGACAGCAGGGCCAGACAGCAGGAACCTCGGGTTGGGCATCTCGAGCAATGGCGCAGGTCCGCACGGCAAGCGGAAGAAGACCGAAAAGGCCCTCGCTGCAGCGGCACCGGCTGCCCCGGCCATGGAGCGATCAATAAGCAGTGCTCTGAAAGCTACAAGTAACGGAGTACGAGGTGGCTCAAGCCCACGGGGTACCCCAGGTCCAGAGAGCGGTGCAGCGAAACGCAAACCTCGTGCCGCTCCCGTACCTGCGCAACGCAAGAACCCGCTTCCGCCGTACTCGCCCCCAATGGCGTCGTCGCCCCTAGCCGCCAATTTTGCCATCAACAAAGCAATTGCCGGTGCGTCGGATCGACCGTTATCTGCCCGTGCGCGCAAGAACTCCACAGCCAACTCGGTGGCGTCGCTCAAAGACCAAGAGGCTCCTGCGGCTCGGCGCCCCTCATCTTCTCATTCCGTACAACAGGCCGCTAGTAGCAATGTCATTACAGAGATTGAGCAGGCTGCTGGGACTGTGCGGGACAATACTTCGGTAAAGGGCGCGTCAACTCCAAAGGAGAGCGCAGAGGTCCCGCCGCCCTTTGACACATCCAACATGAAGTTGGAAGACTTGGGACAGCCTGAGCCAGAGAGTATGGACATTGATCCTCCTGTACCGGCAGCAGCCTCTGCAAGGCCTGGTCGCACTTCAAAAACTGCGACACCTGTCATTGGCGCGTTCCCAGAGATATCAATGGCGAGAAGCCGCAGCAGTCGCAACGCGAACAATGGTAACTCCAACTCGAACACCTCATCCGAAAACAACAGCACCACAGGCGCCGGGTCGAAACGAGGCCACAAAAAGAACACGCAACCGACTACTGTCACTGCCTCCCCCGCCATGAAACCCGTTCCCAACGTGAAATCGAACCCTCCGTCCTCCGCCGCAAGCTCTGTCGCACAAGAACAAGAATACCAAGAAGCCGAGGTAGAAGCCGAGGCCGAATCGGAGGCGGAAGAGGACGGCGATGAGCCCCGATACTGCTACTGCAACGAAGTGTCATATGGCAACATGATCGCGTGTGACAACGACGACTGCCCCCGAGAATGGTTCCATCTTGCTTGCGTGAACCTTGACAAACCACCCACTGGTCGGACCAAATGGTTCTGCAGCGACGAGTGCAAGGAGACGCACACCAAGACCAAGGCCAAGGGGGGTCGTCCAGGCAGTAGTAGACAATAGGAATTAGGAAGGAGTTCAAGGCGTTCTAGGACGGGTCCAGCGGGAGCTGGGTCTAGGCAAGGCCCGAAGGGTAAGGGCAAGGCTAGGTTAAATCTCTGGGATGGTTGGAATGCTCTGTAGAGGGGGCTTCCAACCGCGGTTTGCATTTCTTTGTATTCTTGTGTGGGTTCCGCGGCGTTGTTTCTCAAGGCCTGGGTAAATGGCGCATCTTCTCTCTTATGATCATGATATCTGGACCGATGATATCCGCTTTGGAGGACACTGGCGTTTTGCATCGTCCAGCTCATGGCATCGAGAAGCACAGCCCTCGCCTTTACTGGCTACATTATTGTATATGAGGCATTACCTTTGCTCTATTTGTTAGAGCAAGTAGCCCAATAGCAAAGTACCTACATGCGTTTACAAGTCTTGTTGCAAGGGATCTGGAGTGGACGCCATTCCAGGGGACCTTCCTGACCCCTCATACATGCCATGCGGCAGCGGTACGGCACCCGTCAGCCTCAAAACTGCCCCTTGCAGATCCACCCACGACTTGGAAAGACGTCATCGTCATTGGTCCACGCGCCGTCGCCATGCAGCTCAGCCTGGACCCTGAAGCGCTAGCTGCGTTCGATGATGCAGCCAGCAGCCTCGGGGCATGCTCACCGCTCGAACACGCGACACGAACGCCTTGGATACCGTAATCCCCGACGACTCTCTCTTGTATTGTAACACGTATGACATAGACTCCAACTTCATCATGGCACCTACAGACCACCCTTCAGCGGAAGAACTGCTCATATGCGAGCCCCAAGGTGGCGCGCCGAGTGCCCCGCCAGACCTCCGTTTCTTACACTACAATGATGTCTACCACGTTGAAGCGGGGTCAAGAGAACCTGTGGGCGGATACGCTCGATTCCAAACTCTCGTCAATTACTATAGGAACGACGAGAGATTCAAGGACCAACCAAAGCTCCTGACCTTTTTCTCTGGAGATGCGTTCAACCCAAGCATTGAGAGTAGTATTACAAAGGGTGAGTGAGCTGAATCGCCCGAGGGTATGCAAGGAGACTGACGCTAATTCTAGGAAGCCACATGGTTCCTGTGTTGAACAACATTGGCACAGACGTCTCTTGCGTAGGAGTATGCTCGTCCATGTCCGTAAACGTCGATCTCAACTAACGACAACCCAGAACCACGACTTAGACTTTGGCGTCAAGCAGTATCGCTACCTCACAGCCAAATGCAAGTTCCCATGGCTCCTCGCAAACGTACACGATCCAGCTCTCGGCGACGGCGTCCCACTCGGAAACGCGAAGAAGACGGTCATACTCACAGCATCCAACGGCATCAAGGTCGGTGTCATCGGACTCGCAGAACGAGAGTGGCTCGACACGATCAACGCGCTTCCGCCGGACATCATATACAAGAGTGCGTCGGAGACTGCGAAGGAGCTTATACCTGGCTTGAAGGAGCAGGGCGCAGAGATCATCGTATGCGTGTCGCATCAACGAGAGCCCAACGACAACAAGCTGGCGAAGCAATGCGGCGGCGGCTTGATTGACATCATCCTCGGCGGCCACGACCACTACTACTCGTACAGCCTGATCAACGGCACCCAAGTACTGCGTTCAGGCACCGACTTCAAACAACTCTCTCATGTCGAGGCATGGCGGAAGCCCGAAGGCAAGGGATGGGATTTCAAGATCATACGGCGTGACATTGTCAGCAGCATACCACAAGATCCCCAGGCAATGGAGCTGGTAGAAGAACAAACACGCGAAATCAGAAAACGGTTAGACAAGCCGATCGGATACACCGCTGCACCACTTGACGCCCGGTTCACAACTGTACGGACCAAGGAGTCGAACATCGGCAATTTCGTCTGCGATCTCATGCGCTACTACTACTCAGCAGAGTGCTGTATCATGGCCGCTGGAACAATACGCGGTGACCAGATCTATCCTCCTGGGTTACTGAAGCTCAGAGATCTGGTCAACTGCTTCCCATTCGAAGACCCGGTTGTGGTACTAAAGGTCACTGGCAAGGCGATACGAGAAGCACTGGAGAACGGCGTCAGCAACTACCCAGCACTCGAAGGAAGATTCCCACAAGTCTCCAACATCACCTTCGAAGCCGACTACTCAAAACCACCACATTCGCGAGTAACAAACGTGACAATCGGAGAAGAGCCCGTAGACGAGACGCGCGAGTACGTCCTTGCTACACGAGGCTACATGGGCCGTGGCAAAGGTACGTCCCTCTCTCCTAACAGACATAACCGGCCTACTAACTCCATTTCAGATGGCTACACATCCCTCCTCATCGAAGAAGAAGGTGGCGTCGCCAAAGAGATCGTCTCAGAAGAAAACGGCGTCCTCATATCCACCATCCTGCGCCAATACTTCATGTCCCTCAAGGTCCTCGGCAAATGGAAACGCTGGGGCAAGTCCATGAACACGCGCTTCGCGTCCATACAAACAAACTTGCAGAAACACGGGCATGCGTTTCATGACCCGAGTCCTACTTCGCCTACACAGTCGCGCGGCAACAACGCCGTTGAGGACTTTGGTGAGAAGAATAAACGCGACGACAGCACACATGACACCCTCGGAGAAGAAGATCCAGATGAAGATGAAGATGAAGACGACGGGCCTATGTACGACTCTAGGGTTCCAATACAGTTTACAGACAAGCAGACCGAGATGATAAGGCGCGTTATGCGGAAATGGTGGCGCGTTGCTGGACTAAAAGGAAACCCTAAGCTGTGCGATGAGCTGGACGGCGCGGAGTTCCAGGTTAACTGGACGAAGGCTATTGCGCCGAGGTTGGAGGGCAGGATAAAGGAAATTGGGCCTGGGGTTAAGATTGAGGCATGAGGAGGGAGGGGCATGTAGAGAGGTCTGATGGAAGGAAAAATTAGGAGAGGAAATGGAGGTCACTGGTATGAAGAGAAAGGATGTGTACATGATGGTCATGATTCATAAGCCTAGGCTGGTTGGAATGCGAGTCTGCGTTGGTGCAGCTTCCATATGCTATTAATCCCCATACCACATACCCCTCTTTCACTCCTTCGCATACCCCTTGTACGTACCGTATCCACCAGCAGGCGGGGGAACGTTCTTGTAGTCGCCGTAGTTCGCTGGCTTGGGAGCGGGCACGTTCTTGTAGTCACCTTTGTTTGATCAGTCATCAGATAACTACATGGAAGAGAAGACAAAAGAAGGAAGTAGCTGGATGAATAGATGGATATAACTTACCGTACGTGCTGTATTTACCCTGGGCAACTGCCGCCGGTGCGGCGAGGGCGCATGCTACGAGAGCGAGGATGGAGAGGATAGACTTCATAGTGGATGTTCGGGGTTGGGGAGAGAAGGTTGGTATTAATGGGTAGGAGGGAGAGGCTTGTTTGGGTGGGCAGTAGGAATGGAGTCCTGCTGTGCAACCGATATGCATCCTGAAGACCGTGCTTATATATGTACATAGGTCCTTTAATCGCTCACCTGAAGCTAGCTCTTACCTACTCGCATGCCTTCCCCGCGTGTCTCAGCTACATTGTGCACTGGTCTTCCTCTTCTGTGGCGTGATTCCAGACTAAGATCTCGTATGTACGGCGGGCTGACTATTGAGCTAGATCCGGTCGAAGCCGAGAGATGAGAGGCTTGGTGGGGAGCGAGCGGAATGGAGCTGGTGAGGGAAGAACGAAGTCTAGGTGAAAACCGATGGTGTCTCATGGAGAGCTGAGAGGAACTTCGGCGTCATACACCTGAGGTCCATGTGTATTCTCGGTGTGTTCAGCTTTGGCACTTTGGCAGTCGAAATTCTGTTTCTGACAGACTTTACTGCTACCCCACAAAGCCTCGACGCTTTTGGAATCTGCCTCTTGCATTGTAGATTACGCAAGACTCAATGTGGCGCTCGTGATGGTAGCTGGCATCGTGCTATTGATTCTACTTGTCAACTCTAGTCCCGTATCTATTCTTGTGGTGGTGCATTGAACTCACAAGTCAGCTATCGAAATGGCGGCACGCGCGCTGCAAGCTCCTCGAACGAAGCTTAGCGTATATGATGACCATTATTTCCGAGAAGGCATACGAGACAGGTCATGGTGGTTGTGTGTCCCAGCTCAGCCCTAAAACGCCACCAGCGATCGTGAATGGAGGGGTGCATCGCATGTCGTATTCAGCTTAGGCGGGGTAAGAGCTAAAAGCTGATAGTGCGACTGACCACCACCTGCGACTGTTTTCGCCATGGCTACCCGTCGTGTTTTTGATCTGGCATTCCTCTCGCTTCTGGTTTCTGGCTTGATCTTTGAATTCGTGTACATGTCTTGACATCTTCTTCTTTGCCGCCATGTCTGACGTTGGAAACGAGAAAGGACCAAGTTACGAACATGATCGAGAAAATGGAGACTGTGAGAGATTGCTTGCAGATCACGAAGGGACTTCCTTCGATTTGCGACCGTCGCGACAAACACCGCGGCATTGGTCATGGTTAGCAATTGTTACCGCCTTTCTTGGCACGGCCATATTGTCTGCCTTCCTAGGAGCGTGGATAGTTCAAAGGGAGCGACTCGATGCAGATAAATTTTGCATCAGGCACACCTCGCAGTATTGTATGGCCGAAGGAGCTGCTTGTGAAGAGTGTCCTGCTAAACCTGTCAGCTCCGATCGTCAAGGATGTTGGGATTACCTACAACCAGATCCAATTCAACGGTTCCTTGTTGGTATCAAATGCGTATCGACTAGACGCTGGACCTGAAGTGGATGCGGCGTGGAAAGAGTTGGGGGTGGACTGTAAGCCCTCTCAATGTACAGAGATACCAGTATCTAACGTCCATGACTAGATCATGCCGCAAGAGTACCAGTAGAGGAGGCCAGAAGGTCGGGTCTTGCCTCGGACCAAGTAAAGATCAAAGAAGAATACGGAGGTGGATATCCCGCACACGTGGAAGGCTTGCACCATCTGCACTGCTTGGTGAGTTTTGCCGAATGCTGTGTCGAGAGAAATATTGACCATATATAGAATCTGTTGCGAAAGTCCTTGTCTTGGAATTTCGAGTACTATCAGAAGCAAGGGCTCGGTCCGTTCTCCAACGATGGGAACATTCTGAAACACCACGTCAGTAAGTCAGCGTCTTTACATATATCTAGTGATGTCACTCACCACTTCCAGCACATTGCCTTGATATCTTGCGTCAGCAGCTCATGTGTACGGTTGATAACGGCGTTCTGGGCCAAGTATGGTATCAACCTCCGGACAAACCATTGCAAGCCTTTGTCGACTTCAATACCGTCCATACGTGTCGGAACTTTGATGCGATTAGGGATTGGGCAGAAAAGCATCAGCTACCGGCAGTGGAAGATACACCGCCCGATTTTCTCCAACTACCGGAGGAAGGTGATCGGATATATCATGATGTTCCGTAGACTACCAAAATGGCTCGGAGTTGTCGAGCGTCGCCCATTCATCTCCTCCATCGCTCCAATCTCTCCAAATATCTTTCGGTATTATATCCAACTGGCCGTGACGAAGTCTTGCAAAATCTACGTCGAAAGGATGCGGCTTGAATGTCTGCCCTTGGCTGCTGGCTCGGTTCATCAAATCGAGCTTGTACATGCGCACTATCCTCGCAGCAGCACGAACAAATAGCTCTTTCTCCATATCCTTTTCCCATATGTCTTCTGTGAGTATCATCACCATATGCGAAATTTTCGTGAACTCGCGAAGGACGTTGGATAGGCTACCGTCTCGAAATCCGTTCAGTATTACTTTTGTTACGGCGACTTTTCGCAGCTCTTGGGGATTGCAGCCCGTCGCATGTCCGAAGTGAGCCAGTAACCCTACTTCGGGCGAGTCGTCATAATGCTTCACACGCTTCCCTTCGAGCTGTACCAACAGAATGTCGGTATCGATACGGAAGTAGAATTCGCCACCTCGGGTACCCGGAATATCCGATGCCAGCTCCACGATATGGTCCGCTTTGATAGCTTGGTAACGAGCCTCTTCGCGCGACTCGTGACATATGTTTACCACCGTCGGCGCAGGGCTAGGAGAGTACCGTGGGCAAAAGTGCGTTTCGTCATGAGTTTCATCGTGTGGCTTTGTCTCCAGCGCAACCAGGCGAGGCGGCTCGTTCTGGTATGCGAGTGACCAAATCTGCAGGCGGAGCTCCTTGGGCAGCAATGATATAGACATGGCTGTCAGGGGAAAAGGTGGATTTGAGCTACGTGGGAAGGCCACGCCCGGACCTTCCCCGTGCAGAGGTCACGTGCTGTCGCGATCCCAACGTTGGCTTTCCGCCATTACGAGTCCTACCCACTTAGCTCCACTTGGCACGGATGCCTAACTTTATACCGATAACTATCCCATGTCCGGCAACACATCACACATAACGCATGGTCAGCTCCGATATTCGTGCCTCCGAGTTCCAAAATTCTGTGTCTCGAAGCTTCTCGGGTTGATCCATCTCCAAGTCCAGAACATCCGCGGAGAGCCGTGGATATTGCGGTCAGATCGTCAATGGCATGGTCGTTGTAATTCATATCGGACTTTTCGCGGTCGTCGCGCAAAATGCCATCCGTGGATCCATCCAAATCATCGATTCGCATGGTGGTGATCGTTGTAAGCCCAGGTGGCACAGCACGATAGCGAGTCATTGCCAGAGGCAAACAGCCTTTGCTGACATCACGTTAGTCCATTGGCAGCAAGAAGCCTCGTGGACAGCCTGGTGAACAAGGTGTTCGAAGGTCGGTGAAGGCTTCCTGGAGCTTGGGGCAACCCGCCAACCCTCATTGTGAAGAGCATGAGCATGGTGCGCCTGTTGTGATACCGCTGGAGCTGGTAAATTGATGAGGCTCTAGGTGGATTCGATGCGGGTATCCCACCGGAGCCCCTTGAAGTTCCACTGGAGAAATAGCGACGGCGTCCTCTTATGTGGATCTGTTGGACGAGCGACCCGCTGTATGTGAAGTCACGCTGACATGCGCGCGGATGCTTTGCCGGGCGGAGAGTCTAGTTTTGCTAGCATTTGGCCTGATCGACGATGCTGAGACCGATCAACGGCTTGCCTCTCGAGCTCGGAAGAGGCTGAAAGATTTGAGGCTCCATGTGACGGGGCTGGGCATCTTTGCTGTCGTGTTGTTGGTCGTGGAGCTATTCCCCTCCCCCGCTTTAAAGGCAAAACCACCCCTCTTCGAGCGTCATACCGCAGACACCGCATAGGAAAGGCACGCGCTCGGATTCCGCTGCCGATTAAACACCGAAACCTTCGTCCTCCTACGATGCTCTCCTGGCGATTCTCTCTCTACCACCTCAACTTCAACTCATAAGCTTACACACCCAAAATTCGGTGTTCTTTGTCGCGAGACCATTTTCGCAGCGCACCTTCGGAACAACGTCATCGGCATTTGCGCTTTGCTGCGGCACCGCATACCCACACGCAACCCGTCGCAATCCAGACATACTCCAGCGCGTACACCGCAGAGAAGCTAATCGGTTCCCAGACCTGATTGGCTTATTTAGAAATTTTTCCGTTCCTTCGCAATACCCAGTACCGTTCTTGGTGACGAATTTGGGGAAGGAACACCTCGCGACCAACAGCTGCAGTCGTCGCACGCATTCCACAAACCCGACCGCGGACGGAAGACATCTTCCGTATAAGTACAACGGGTCGCATACACAGTTCAAAACATTCAGTACAGCTTTCAGCATGTCGACAGCAGAAATTTCCGCCCATGACCCTGAGCCGCAGCCAGTCCCCAAGGGAGAAGAAGCTGGAGACGAATCGCAGGCGCATTTGGATGAGGGGAGGTTGAGGCAGTTCTTCATTGGATCCATAGACCAAGGAACTACAAGTACCCGCTTCATCATTTTCGACGGTCTCGGTGAGCCCGTAGCTCAACATCAGATTGAGTTCACCCAGAAATATCCTCAGTCAGGGTCAGTACTGCGCATGCCTCGTGACTTAGCATGGGTTAATTAGCGTAGATGGCATGAACATGACCCATGGGAGATCATCAATTCCGTGGAACAATGTATCGATAGGGCTACGAACATCTTCCTCGACAACGGACACGAAATCGAAGACATCAAGGCTGTTGGCATCACCAACCAGCGTGAAACAACAGTCGTCTGGGACAGCAATAGTGGGCTGCCACTATGCAATGCGATCGCTTGGTACGCATAGAATATACCCAAAAAATGAGGACACAGCGACTGACTTCATGCGATTCTAGGCCAGATACCAGAACCAAGGGATTGGTCCGTGAGCTGAAAGATCGCAAAGGCGCCGACGAGCTACTCCACATGTGCGGACTTCCCCTGTCGACCTACCCGTCGTCAGTCAAGCTCCGGTGGCTGCTAGACCACAACGACGATGTTCGCAAAGCATACGACGAGAACCGATTATCCTTCGGCACTATCGACTCATGGATATTATACAACCTTAATGGCGGAAAGGAGGCCGGAATTCACGTGACGGATACTACCAATGCATCTAGAACCATGTTCATGAATCTGTAGGTCATCCTCTGCATGCTTCTACTTAAGCGAAAAAGCCCACTTATGCAACCCTAGGCACACCGTTCAGTACGATGACAAGCTCTTGGAATTTTTCGGAATCGACAAAAACAAGGTTAAGCTGCCAAAGATCGTCCCGTCTTCTTCACCCGACGCTTTCGGATACCTGCGATCCGGTATACTGGAAGGCGTTCGCATCGCAGGGTGCTTAGGTGACCAGTCGTCAGCTTTGGTCGGTCAGCAGGGGTTTACGCCCGGCTCTGCCAAGAACACCTACGGTACCGGTTGCTTTCTGCTGTACAACGTGGGCGAAAAGCCGGTCATTTCGTCGCACGGACTTCTGGCAACCGTCGCATACGACTTTGGCGGAAAGCGGAAACCCGTGTACGCGCTCGAAGGCAGTATCGCTGTAGCAGGCAGTGGTGTCAAGTTTCTCATGAACAACATGGGCTTCATCACGCACTCGCACAAGATCAGTGACTTAGCAGCGTCTGTGGAAGACAACGGTGGATGTGTTTTCGTGACAGCCTTCAGTGGTCTGTTCGCTCCCTACTGGATTGACGACGCCAAGGGCACTATATTCGGGATCACCCAGTTCACCGAGCGGGGACATATCGCTCGTGCGACTTTGGAAGCGACTTGCTTCCAGACCAGGGCCATTTTGGACGCCATGGAGCTTGACAGTGGCCACAAGCTTAACATGCTTGCAGTCGATGGCGGCATGAGTAACTCAAATCTTTGCATGCAGGTACGTAAATTTCCCTACATATGCCCGTTTATGCGGCCTCCACTAACTGTATTCGATAGACGCAAGCGAATATCATCGGCATTCCCGTCGACCGTCCCGCTATGCGAGAAACCACAGCCCTGGGCGCAGCCATTGCAGCTGGATTTGCGGTCGACGTATGGAAAGAGTTTGACGAACTGAAGGAGATTAACCAGAAAGACCGCATGATCTTCAAGCCAAATGTTGACAAGGAGGTGGGCGAGAAGATGTTCAAGAAGTGGGGAAGGGTAAGCAGATTCCACGAACCAGATCCAAGAGTGACAATTGCTGATTTCTTACTAGGCAGTCGAGATGTGCCGCGGCTGGCTAGATGCCGGAGAGGCCAATGGAGAGTTCTCATGATCTACACGTGTAATGGAGCCTTAGATATCCACACCTCGCGCGATATTTTCCTCGCATCGTCGTATGGAGAGTAATGAACTGTTTTCAACGAATACACCCGCGCTTAGGCATCCCGATGAAGGGCACGTGTTCGGGCCGCTGCATCTTCCAGTACCGTCTGTTATTCGTTCTTCACACAGGGTTTATGTCTTAGGTGGGCTGACGGCCTTCAATACATATAAGACTCAGTGCTATAGCCACATCACTGCTTTTGGCCTTACCGCCGGTTTGGCAACGCGGGGCAGTGACGGTCCCACATATAGTTTCTGCCCAGTCAGTTCACCGTTCTGATGGCATTGAAGTTGATATCCATGTCTCGCGTTCAGCCTGAATGTCCATTGTTCTTGCCAATGAACAACGGATTGCGTGTCTACTAGGTGGAGATTTCGAGGATGGCCCAATAAAGAGTCGACTAATTATAATAGACTGACCAAATGTGTAGATGTACCTTGCGTCTTATACGGCCTGGGCCCAGCTTAGGCTTCCGCGGGAGAGGCGCTTCAAGCTGCAGGTCTCCCTATCAGTAGTGGAGTCAATAGCTAGGCTGCGAAAGCCAACATACACTTGCCGACAAGTAAGGGATATAGAGCTGTGCCACATGTTCATGGTACGAGAAACGTCTGATTGAGTCTCGACTTTCCAATAGAAATCGTATGACGCGTTTGTATGCAGTCATGGTCTATCGTTACGAAGTTCGCTTTGTGGATGATTCGACTCTTCACAAGCTCGCGTTTGAAATCTTGAGCGAATACCAATGGGCGGACTTATCCGATTAGCAACGAATTGTGTTGAGCATAGGTAAGACATGCACTCAGGGGTCACGATCCTGGTACGTTCTGCAGGCTTTTTCACCTTTGGCCGCCGTATGAGACGACGTCCTGCATTTGTCCTGCGCACGCGAAGCGGCAAAATCCCAACTATTCCACGGAGTCGACGTGTATCCCGTTCTCGGTAGCCGTATTCTTGGTAGCTCCGTCCTTGACCAAACGTACCCCAACTGAACAGGGTTGTAGTTGGCCGCCTTGCGCGAGCCGATGCGCATTGTCTTTACCTATGTCATGCGGCGGTCTGGCCCATTATCGCAAGAAACCCACTTGAGAATACCTTTTTGTAAACGAATGTTACCAGGTTCCTGGTATACATACATGTACATGCACACGTTGCTGAGAATCTCCGTGCGAATCGCAATTGCTGTTCTCCGTCCACGCAGCTACGGCACAGCACTCAGGGCACGCCCGGTCCATCAATGCGAGAAGCCTACAAGCCATAATGAGGCGCAATAGCTGTGCCGTACAAAGGTGTGGACCGTGCAGCTGCCATATAGCAGGTGCAACCGTAGGGTAGTATGAGTAAACAGTTGTGTACTTGAGGCGGGCGTCCGAACCCAATGGCGTCATGCGGGCCAAATCCAACTCGACAACAGCATTGGGTCCATCAAACACTCACAACACCACATCATCGCCACAGAACTCAAACGCAAACCCACTCCATCATGCCAGTAACGAGTCTGCGCATTATGCTCACGATGCCAGAAAGTGAGGCCAGCGACCAGGGACCCGCCGACGGCCACCAACGGTTGGAGCATGTCGCGCAGCCGCGCTCACTGTACGCGGGACGGCATATGGTGATTGCGCAACACTCGACCTCCGGATGCTCTCGCGATATCGACTGGGGCCGGGGAAGCGGGAAAGTAAGCATAAAGGACACAAATCGGTGGAAACTCCGGTGCAGTACTGCCGAGAAAGGCACGCCCAGGATGAAACAGGCGCCGCAATGCAGCGACCGCCCTATTCCCGCAGTGTGTAAACGTTACCAATAATTGATATTTGGTATATCGTCGACCTGTCTCGCGACGTGCAGGAAGGGTGACCCTGGCCTCCGAAGCTTAGTGTCTGCCACAGTCAAGGATTTTCCAACGGCTGCACACCCCACGCGCCACCTTAACGTGGAACCGTAGTCGCAGATCAAACTTGATCTGTGCACGTCTGATAACTTTGAACTTAGTGCACACTAACGACGAGGCGGATTGGCGCACTTCTAAATCCTATACCCCCTCAGCCACTCACAGACCGCCATTGCCTGTCCGCTGGCTATCTTACCCTGAGAGCAAGACCGAGGATCTTGACGCGTGCAACCATCTTGTTCAAATACGGCCAGAGGCCCTTGTAGTCCCTCTCGGCATCCGGGTTGGGCTGCCACTTACCTCCCTCAAGGTTCATGGAAGCGAGAGGACTTCAAACATGAAGGTCCCCACCCACGTCTATGATGTGCAAAAGGCTCGACCGCTCTCGGGCTCCCGGGTCCGTTGAACATTCACGGCCACTACCATGATGCATGTCAACTGACGAACCAGGTTCTATGGACATGGGCTAACTTTGCATAGCTCCCACGGGTACCTGATCGCACTGACGTCTGTCTGCTGCTCTGTCTGGCTTACTATAACATAACGGACCGTCGCGCAGCTGCATGCTAATCCGGAGATTTCATCAAACGTACCAACAAAATCGCTTGCTTGCCATCCATTATTGCTTGTGCCTATCCCTTTGGAGCTCTTACTCGTCAATCGCCTCTAACGCCTCACGCCCGTTCTTTCCTACCACCATGTGCGACTACACACAAGTTCAATACAAGTGCACTCACGTCCGTTACGTTGTCAAAGCCTGGTGCACCAAGTACCAACAAACGCATGTAAGGTGTCCGGCCAATGTCACGGCAGTGTAAGTGTTCGTCCCGAAAACCATGTCCCTAAACTGATTGCTGGTCCAGAGAATACAGACTCAACGAGAACTGCGGTTCGTTGTCCCATTTCACGATTTCCGTTACGAGTACAACCCTAACACGAGACCAGGCGATTGCAGACGATGACACGAATCCGCTCCTCTGCATCATTTCTTATCATCACGGTTGCAATATAGCACGGCGTACACGGCGAATACGGCGGGAAGCTGCACAATACCCCATTTTGAATGTTTTCCTACCTTTTTGGATAGTCGAATGTATCATCACTGTCAATTCCAGAAGCCATCTTTCAGTACTTCTTCCAATACTGCTCCACCGACTATGGCACTTAACCGAGATTATAGTCATCAATGTCCGGCGTGGGTCTTCAGCCACGATGGCGGAGCTGCATCCATCTGCCGACAACCTTTGGCAAGAATGCGATAGCCCATGGCACCTTGACGTTTAAAAAAGGGACCGGTTTCCAATCAAAGTTTATGTGGATTTGGTGGTACTGCATTAGCCAAAGCAAATCGCAGGTGACACACAGGATCTTACCCCCCAACGGCCACAACTCCGAAGCACGCAATCGGCCACCAAACCAGGCGCCAGTTACGTGGAACGTGAACAAAACACGGAACGCGCACCGAAGGAACATACCTTCAGTACTGCATTCCGTGTGTTCCGACCTGCAAAACTATCCCCAAGCATAAGGTAAGCTGAGCGCGTCGGCTCAATGTCGGTCGCCTCTTTATCTGTCTCAGTTTCGCAGCTTTAGAAACTCTCGAGCACTAACCCGAGCAGTGCCTGACTCCCAATTGCGTCGGGTTCGCTTTTCGCAATTCCTCGCATTCATCACCAAGTTAGACTGGAAAAGATGTCGAGATATGGATCGGCCGAATACCCGCTTTTGGCTTTTTAATACATGCTCCTCGCATCGTAGCGCCAGGTCGCTACCTGCAGCTACGCCAGACTTATGCAGCTTGCCAAATTGGTGTGGCTTACCACGTCCCTGGAGCGCGATAAAAGGATTGGTAAAGCCAGTAAAACCCGTCTTCCCATTATGCAGCTTGGCCAATCACGATAGTTAGTTCGCCAGAGGCACGGTCGGGTCGTGCCTTCGCAACCGCATGTCAAAAAGTCTTAAGCTAAACGTCGCATCGCATAGTAACGCGAGCTCAACACAAGTCGCTGCATCCATGCGTAGCTCGAAGGATATCGCCATGATGTTGGCGAGATGGAGTCACGATCCTCCGTACCAGGCTTCGAGGCTTCGCTGGTGTCAAGAGTCAGTCCTGCCCACTATTTATTCTTCCTCCACCAGCAGATCAGGGTCATCAGTCAATACGTTGGGTACGGCCTTCGAATCGAGCAATGTGAGCCAACCACGTCGTTTGGACAACTCATTGCATCGGCAACTCCGCTGAGCCACACTGGAGCATGACGAATATTGCCATGGACGCACGCAGACGGTTATCTGGTTCGTATGTGTGGGGAGCTTATGACAATGTGGGAATGACCAGCAGCATGACGCCACCTCGGTTTCATCGACATTGAAGCTCTGGCTCTCCGCCTTGACGCGTTTTACGAAGTTCAACTCAATTGCGGGTCCCGGACAACAACTGCAAGACAGCTGAGAGGATTCAAAGACCTCCTCCAGAACCAAGTGTAGTGGGCCAGGAGAGCATTACCTATATTCCACTTTGGAAACCTTCTGGAAGGAGAATCATGATTGTCTCAAGGCCTTGCGGGAGGATGATGATCTGCGCTACTGACTCATTGTCCAACCGAATGATGGGCCAGGAGCAGACCAGACGGCGTAGCATGTTGCTATTGTTTTTTCAACAATTTCCCAAGCTCCACGCAATACGACGAAAAGCAGAGCAAGTACTGCCAGATTGATAGATACATACTGAAGCAATTGCTTCGAATTACTGATGGACTGCACCCTGACCCGCCTGAAGTTGCATCGTGAACCCTCAAGAGGTACCGGCTTGACTCGCAACCAACGACAACTTCCCCACCACCCCCGCCCGCCACAACCAACCTTTAAAACTCGTAACCTGGTAAGAGGACCACAATAGGGGAGGCGTAGTAAGTGCAGCGCATCGAAACCCTCAATCATCACTCCACTGCAATCCTCTTGGCGTCGTCCTGATATCCAGCGGTTGCGGCTGCAAATCCCGTTCCAATCTCCCGACGGAACTTGAAACCAAGACCTCAATGACAGGACCGTCATCCGAGCAGGTCGTGGCGAGACAGTTGGTTATTGATCCGGTCACGACATAGTAATCTCAAAAGCCAGTGATACGTCTCCGTGTACCAATATCCCAACACTACCTTTGCGCGGTTTGTCACGGGCTATTTCGGTGATATAAGCATACCCTCCCGCCGCCCCGCGTTCAGCAGGAACCTAATTCTGAGTTGACATGGGGCCGGGGGCCGGATGAGCTTGATTTGGGCACATCTAACGACGTTGGGATAAATGGCTAGCTGGTGGGCAATTACGCACCCGGTCACGGCAAGCAATTGCGCGAAGGATGTGGGTCTGCCCGGACACGGAATGTGACTCATGGCGATTCGCGTGGATAAACGTCCGGCTTCCAGGTGAGTTGAAATTGGCGGAGAGATGTGCTGCGACTGGATATAACAATAATGTGCTAACGTTGATGCAGGGTGCCACAATGCGTGGAGTGGTATGATTCCCGCATGCATGTGCGGTCATGTTATCTGCAGCCGTCGTACCCTCGTCACAGTACAGTGCGCAGCTCGAGGCGGGCACGGTCGACGACCAGCATTGCATCGCCATCAACACTAGGGATGTGTCGTCAACCCACGGTATCGTTGGTACATGCCACCTCCTGGTGCTTACGACACACAGGCTAGTCTCCATAGGATCAGGAGCACACGGAGCGGATGAGATAATGTATTAGGCTCGTCGATCGCACCTGACTAAACGTCTTGGTTGGAAGCCCACCGCATCTCTCTACCTTGATATTCTTACCACGGCCTCTTTCTCCTTTACCCTCTGCAGGAAGCGCCGGAGTAACCCTCCTAGCCAACGGCGGATCGGAGGGTAGCTAGCCTTGCATGCCGGCACTTGCAACCTGCACCGGTACTTCCGAGCCATAGCTCGTATCGACCTTCTGTAACGCGTGGTGGTCTGTGACTGTCACGACGAGCCTGACAGGTGACACACAGTCGAGGAGGATCATGTTTCATACCTGGTGCCTGAGCCTTGAGGATCCGCATTGGTGGCCTATCCGGCACGGCCCGGGCTGTCACCAGAAATGAATACCAGTGCGAGAGTCGCCTGTTTTTGCTTGTTCTCACATGGCGTGTACCTCTAGTCCAGCGGCCCGATGATGCATTGTGTAAACATCCACCGCTACTTTGTCGACTCTTTGATCAGCACGAGCTGCGTATCTCGGAGAGTTCGACAGAGTTGAAGCTCCGTCGCGGCGACTGGGATCCCATGTCATCGCAAGAGCAGCACCGCAAGTGCTTTACCGCCATCGCAAACCTTCTCCCAAGAGAACTCCTCAAACGGAACATACCGCAAACATTTTGGAGTAGATAAACGAATAACGTATACAACTTGCTCAGCCTCGGTCGGTCCGAGCGTTCACACCGAATAGCAGTGCGGCCGTAACGGCGTCAGACTATCCGCTACTAGGACAGCGGAGCCTTCTCCGCCCCGCCACGGCCACGGTACGGCGCAAAGTCTGGCCTTTTTACTAGCACGATCTGAGACGCAGCTAAAAGGCTACAGGTATGACGTGCATAACGACTGCAGAGCTAGTCGTGGATCGCCTTTCGGAGGTTTAGCATTGTTTCCACGCCCATGGCGCGCGCGGAGACAGCTGGCTATACAGAACAGACGCAAAGTATATTCGGTCTAGATTTGGCAAGATTGGCTCCTGTTCAGCAAACACATCTATCATGCCAATCCTGGGCATCGCTCCTGCTTCCACAATCTGATAACCGGCATAAACTGACGATATGCTCTCCGGCGCGTCGACAGCCCGGGCCTTACTCGGCAATATACTTTCAACCTCCGCTTCACCATCCGGTTGGTAACGCACAATGTTCTGTATAACCTCGCAGTCCCTACCCCAATAGTTCGAACAACGGGATCAGCATGAGCATGATTTGTCAATGACACTGATACGAGTTTTGGAACAGAGGCGATCACCAACCTCATCAGCCCTGCCTTGGGTTGGGCCGCTGCGAAAGAATTCAATGTATGAAGTTATACCTGACCTGACCTGACGATGGCCAACCGCGTGGTCTTACCGCAAACAGGCCCCACATCCCCTCCCTGTAGCAGGGAGAACCCAACTACGGACGAATATCAAGCTCGGTTGGACTGTCAGAGGCGTATGTACGAAAGACTGTAGTGCTGTGAGGCGGCGGGTGATCACGTCTTTGCCGTGTCTCGGCGTTTTCACCGATAGTACACTTACTCAGGAGCACGGCGATGATTGCGGTAAGGCTGACTTGCAAGGTTGGTTCATGTGAACAATCCTCCGCTGTACAAGGTATTGCATATCCGCGACATTCCGCCAGGACCCTGCCAGACGCGCTGCGCACCGCCAAGGCTACCGAGATGCCGTGCAACATCCTTGCAAATACGTTGATCTGGGGCATCATGCGGGTTACAAAGCTGACGACAGCATATGTCTACGTATGCATCCTGCCCAGCATACGCACGCCTTCTTGGCCACAAACCTCGAAGTCTGGGGGGTACACATGATCAGCGGGAGCTACCCCAACTCGCTATCAAAGAGTTTGACACAAACTGTCTGTCATACCGTCCCATGCGCGTAAGTCCATGTCGTGGATCCCTTGGGCTACACATGGTCCATCCTGGCATACCGCTCTTCACGCATCAACAGCGCTACTGCCTCCACTACAAGGAATGTGTATCGTGACGAGGAACAAAAGCGAGATAATGCAATGTGCGAACCCACATTGGATAATAGAGTTTGAAGAAGTTTACCTTCAAGGGCCAAAAAAAAAAGCGTTGGTTTATTTGCGTCGCGGGCGCGGCACTTGGTCGTTTGTTCGTCTCGTGACGAGGTCCATGTGGGGGATGGGGCGCCGTGTAAAGGCGTAAACTTTGTTTGCTGAAGAGCCACAGGCGGTGGCTCAATGGACATTGAACCGGTCGACTATTGGTATAACTTTGGAAGTGCATTTTGGAGGGGGCTAGAGGGGAAGAGGTCTTTTCCGTAGAAAGACGCAGGTCTTCAAATTGCCTTAGTAGCATACTGGGTTTCAATGGTGCGGTGTAGTTGTTACCCGCGTGTGCAGCGGGTTCAAGACTGACATGTGCACCATAAATGATTTGAGGATCTAAACTACGATAGGATCGAGATCATCTCAGACTGCTCACACAAGTGATGTCCAGCTCGGTAACGCGATTTGATCCTATGATACATTTCAAGGTTATTTCCACTATACGCGTTCATTCTGTCCAGACTTGCAGTCTCTTAGTAGCCTCTGGACTCTTCCATGATACACGCTCATACCAAAAGTTGTTTAGATACTCGCAAATGCTTCCATGAATTGTCCAACCAAAAGTCGTGTTCAAGAGTGATGTAGGTGGTGATTGGTCAAAGCGCGCCTTTTGCCGTAGCGAATTCAGGAACAGGCATCGCTCATCCTCCATCACGTCAGCCAATATGTCGCATCTCGAAGACATTCCCACACCCGACAATGGCTTTTATGTTCTCGTCACGGGCGCAAACAGGTTCGTATATCTGCCATTTTCTCGTATGCAATGAATTGACCCATGTGTAGTGGCCTGGGGCTTGGTATTGGAACCCGTTTGATCGACGAATTCCTACAAACGCGTCCTCAAGACGAATCCCTCGTCCTCATCATCACAACACGCGACCAACGGAAAGGCGACGCGACGATCGAGACGCTACAACAGCATCTGCGCAAGGTCATTCGCAGCCATGAACAAAAGCTGCCGGGCATTGCACAGGTGCTGCAGAATCGCGTGTATTTCCGCCAGGAGCGACTGGATCTGCTGAGTTTGGTCTCTGTGCAGAAGCTGAGCAAGAAACTCCGGCAAACGACACCAAAGCTCGATGCAGTCATCTGCAACGCTGGTATAGGTGGATGGACGGGTATCGACTGGTCGCGCGCCGTTTGGTCGGTCTGCACAAAGTGGTTGCAGGCTACCACCTGGCCGACGTACAAGATTTCTGGTCGTGAATGGCTTGCAAAGGAACAAATACCTGCGGACAAGAAGACGGAAAAGGAGCCCCCCTTAGGCGAGGTCTTCTGCGCCAATGTCTTTGGGCACTATCTGCTGGGACACTACCTCGCACCATTATTGGCGAAACATCCTAGGAACGAGGGGACACGGGGCAGGATGATTTGGGTCAGCAGCTTGGAGGCGTACGAGCATGTATTCGACCTAGAAGACATACAAGGCATCACATCGCATATGCCATACGAGGCTACCAAGAGGCTGACAGATGTCCTGGCCATTACCTCTAGATTACCTTCAACCACGGAGCCTGTCGACCAGTACCTCGAGCACGCCCAAGATACGGAAAAGACTACGAAGCCACGACTCTACGTTACACACCCAGGCATATGCGCCACATCGATAGTGCCTCTTCCCCTCATCCTCCAATGGGCCATGGTTGCCGCTTTCTACATAGCGCGCCTTCTCGGCAGCGACTGGCATACCATCTCGGTGGACAAGGGCGCGACTGCCATGGTTTGGCTGGCGCTTGCAAGTCAAAATACGCTGGACAACATGGAAGCAAAGGAAGGCGTAGGGAAGTGGGGAAGCGCGGCGGATGTCTGGGGTAGAGAGCGTGTAGATCGCACAGAGGTGGCAGGATGGGGATGGGGAGGCAAGCTGGGAGAGTACAAGAGGAAGGGGAGGGATCCGTACGCCAAAGACCTGACCAAGGAGAGCCAAGAGCGTTTCACAGAGACGGGGAGGAAGTGCTGGGAGGAGATGGAGAGGCTGCGCGTCGAGTGGGAGGACCGACTGCGACAGGCTGGAGTGGTGGTCGAGATGGAATGATCACCATCCCCCGCTCCCCACATGCACGAGGCCACAAACTATTGTATATCTTTAATATTTCACGATAGACATAAACTTTCTCTCCTTGAGCCCCACATGCAGAGCAGCGGGGCACAGGGTTCGGCCAAGCCATTAACTCAGCAATTCACCGTCTACTTGCGACGTGACAAAACCACCAAGTAGGCAGCTAGCGAGCAAAAAAATTGCCCGAATGACAGTGTTGGCGCCGACATTATGCCGGGCGATCGCTTGTCGGAGGGGAGCCCGAATGCTTGGGCAACGCGAAGGTTGAGGCCTGAGCTTGACAGCTGAAGTATGCAGGTTGACGGCGACACGGCAGGGACAAGGCCGAGGCGAAGGAGATCTTGGATGGAGGGTTTGAAATCGTGGTAGACTACGTCAACTACGTCGCGGATTTGATATAAAAAGAAAAGTAAACGATAAGAGCTAGGAGACCACGGAAACCTGGACATTGTTGTGTGCCACATCACAAGTCACCTCGGCGACGACCGACGAACGACAGGACTGACCTGCGTTGGAGGCAGCGCTACTGGGCATAGTCAGGATGGTCGGGGGGAACGCGCCACTCTGCGCCGCACTCGGGCTCGCAGGCGCTTTCGCCCTATGTGGCGTATCTTGTCGTAGATGCTGAGGACATCGTATGGAAAAGCACGATGCGCCCCGAGATAGTTATCACAATGCTGACAATCCCCCGCAATCGCAAAGTCTTGTTCGTAATGTTTCTTGTGACGACATGCGTCGCTCATGCAGCAATCCCAGGAACCGCACTCGTCAACCTCGTCAACGCCAGGGGCTAACCAGGTTCATCCCCACCCATTTGCCAAAAGCACGAATAGGAAGTGTTGACGCGACCTGCAATCCGCTGTGCTGGGTCGCGCCGGCCAAGGGCTCCCGCTGTGCCCCTATGGGCTTGCCCTTTCTGGGTCAAGTCTTCCCTTCTGGCCCTCCCTCCCCCCATCCATCGACAGTTGCTGCCCGACGCGACTCTTCGCTATCCCTGAGACAATTCGCGATTTTCGAGTCCCCTTCACGCGTAGAAGTGTCTCTAATACAACCGCTTCTTTGCCTCCTCCTTCCAATCCTGCCAGTGACTGCGCCCACTGTCAAGTCACGATCGAAGCCATCTACGCGATCCCAGTAACGTGCACTCGACTACTTTCACCGCTCATTTTCTTTTACCACGACAACCCAGGACGCCAACAGTTGCGCAATACGTCGACGGTAGCATTGTCCCTGCCATAGCGCGAATGGACCCCAAGCACGACCCGCTTTCGAGCGACTATCCACCCATCTTCGCACGCGACGCGACCGTTCAAGCGCCGTTGCTATCAACAATCCTCGCATAGGCGCAAACCTCACCTTCGATTCGCATACCTTACGCAATACCCCGCCCTAAATCTATCCAGCCGACTACACCATATCGCCCGTCTTGGTCGCGTGACGATTGCTTGAATTGGAGGCGCATACATTGTTCGCGCACAGGACTTGGACTACACAATCGCATTGTCGGCCACCACCTTTCTCTCGCGAACAGAGGGTTGTTTCTGCTGGCCTGAGAGCACTGCAATTCTACCTATAATACTGCCGGTCGCAGTTAATCACCGGAACTCCACACCAACATGTCGAACACGTCGGCATCACACGCTTCCTCGCGTGGGGTAGACTATAGGCCGTCTACCCCCGATCAAACCAGACCTACGCTTTCTCGATCGAGCTCCCACGCTGTCGCGCCGAAATCAGAATACCTTCGGAACGCGCTGCAAGCACGGAGGGCACAGGGTACGCCTACTCCTTCACCTCAGGATATCAAATTACCCCCACCACCCGCGCAGAAGCCTCCAGAGATAAGCACGCCCAAGACTTCGCCTGATATTTTTGATCAATTCGCCCTCACGGAAGAACAAACAACCCCCGTTTCGCCCATCCGACGACGAAGACCTAGCGATGCTGGTCCCCCTCGCTCCAGGACGAGCCGAGAACTCACAGACGAGATCGGCAAGTTGAAGCAGACGCTCATGACTGCCAACATGCGAGTGGAGCTGCTGAAGAAGGACAACCGGGTGCTGCAGCATGATTTGACGGCCGCCAAAGAACAAGTGGAGCGACTTGAGCCACTAGAGGACGAGAATTACGAGCTGAATGCGGAGAACAAGCAACTCAGGCTCAAACTGGAAAAGATGGATGAAGAAATGTCGAATCTGCGAGAAATCAACGAGGAGCATCGGAAGACCAACATGGAGCTCACTGCTATAGCAAGCGAGAGCGCGGCGCACTGGGCAGATCACGAGCTCGCCATCGAAGAAGCTGCCGAGCACATCATCAAGATGGAGGAAGAGAAGGAATTATTGTCGGAAGAACTCCAGCAACTCAAACAACGAGTCATGGCTATAGAAAGCCATTCGCCCGCTAGCACGCTGATCAACAGCCCTGGCAAGTTCCCACTTCGCGTCTTCAGTGTGGACGAGTCACGGCCTTCTACTTCTCACTTTGACTCGGATTACTACAGCCAGCCAGAATCGCCCCAAGCCAAGCATAGTACCGCATCGATCAAGTCCTTCACACCTTCAGAGCGGTCGAGGAAGTTTCTTGATCTGACGCAAGAGCGACGACGATCTGCTCGTGATCTCGTTGAACGCATGTCTGCAGTATCATTGAGGGCACTACGTGATGCGTCTCTTTCTCCCACACCAGAAGTCCCCGCAATTCCTGCGGCCCACCAGCAACAGGTTCCTTCTATCGTAGCGGATGATAGGTCCGCCACTCCCTCAAGACGCCGTGAGCACGTTCGCCAAATCGATCAGGCACGTCCGCTGTCTCTGATGGACGCAGCAGAAATCTCCCCACCTCGCCCGCACACATGTGCCCCTCAAGCTCCTGACCGCCAGCCAGACGGTCTACGAGGCCTATACCGTCCCCGCAGAACCACAAGTCGAGCTTCAACCGACCAGCGCCCATCCTCAAGCTACATACCCAGTACTACCAATACACCCGGTAGTTCCCTAGGTCGTCATCAATCCACTCGAGAGGCCTCCCCTCACGTTCCTCCACCCAGCAGCGGGTATAGAACCTCGGAGCGTTCAAACGAGCACCCCCAGCGTCACTCACCACGTCACCGCTCCTCCTCCGTCGACGTAGGCGCCAATCAAACTCCCCCAACGAACAGACATTCCATGGCACCAGGGTGGGAAATCACCACTCCAAACCACTCCTACTCTCCTGCCTCTAATGCTTCTACGCTCGATCTAACAAGCGAGGTAGATCCACGGAAAGCGAAGGAGCAATGGTGGCGCAGTTTAGATCGTTTGACTCATTCGCAGGCGATGGCTCAACAAATGCAAGCTCAACAGACACAAACACTGCAACGTTTTGACGCCGGGCCAAATCCTTCTTCTTCTTCTGCTGCCTCTGCTCCTATCAACGCCACGCTCGTGCCCAAGAGGACGAGGAGTAATAGCACAACGGGTCATCGTCAGAGTAGGAGACCTACGCCTACTGCCTCGAGTGCGCTGAACAGTCATCCTGTGTCTGCAGAAAAGGACTTACTGTTCAATGCCAAGGAGAGTACGGAGGACTTTATGAGTAAGATGAGGGGCGGTAAGGGGTCTCGAGACTCTGTTTTTTCTCTTCGTTAAGTTTGGTTAGTCTTTTAATGATTGTACGGCCTAATATTGTGGGTTTATTTTGACAACGGCGTTTGAGAAGAAAGAAAGTATACTCCGCGAGGAGGCTATGATTGATAGCGTGGGAAGGTTTTGAGATTGCGGCTTTGTTTCGCATCTATATCGAGCTTTTATCGGTCTGTCTAGAGGGCAGAAGAGAAGGAAACTGTATCACTAGTCGAGGTATCGACATCACCTTATATAATATCATCACCTATCCTTGGTATTTGAAGTCTCTTGACATGACAGACAAAACATATCGTGATCCCACATGTCCAAGACACAGAACTTCAAGCCAAACATTGCATCTCCCCTTCATCCCTTCTCGATCCTACCCCCTCCCCCTAAACTGCTCAGCAACCACATCCCCCAACGTCCTCCTCTGCCTCGCCTCCCCCGTCCCTTCCGCTAGGATCCCCGTCGCCAACCCCGCTCCACCCCCCTCCCTCTCCCTCTCAGCATCCAGCCTCGCCCTCAACCCCTCAAACCCATCCTTCTTCTCCTCTCCCACTACCCACCCAGGCACCCTCCACCTCGCCGCGCCCGGCAGCACGTCGCGCCTATACGCCGTGCCAACCCCCCAACCCACCGCCGCCGCCAAGAGCGAGCCAGGGAATTGTGACAGCGCGAGTTGTAATGGGGGGAGGTAGGATAGCGATTTCGAAGTTAGGGTTATGGAGCGAGTGTAGAAGGACTGTGACGATGGGGGGTCGGCGGCCCAGGGAGAGATTTTATAGCGGTAGGTGGACGGGATTGCGGCGTAGTAGTTTGCGAGGAGGGCGAAGAGGATGGGCGTGGGTCCTGCGGGGAGGTGGTTCATGCGGCCGAAGGTAAGGGGGCGGAGGACGAGAGTGAGGAGGAGAGGCGGGAGAAGGGTTGTGTAGGGGAGGGTGGAGAGGAGGAAGGACTGTAGGTTTGTTTGTTAGCTTGGATGCGCTGGGTATGGGGGGGTTGGATGGATGGGATGGGGAATACATACAGCGAACTTCCTACTCCCCCAAATTCTTTCCACAACACGGAGTTGGTAGAATGTCAAGACGGCGAAGAGTACTTCTGTTGAGTTCGTGAAACTCAGCTGTGATTTCGCGTTAGCATCATCATCCTCTATCCATTCCCACTCCCATTCCTCCAAGAAGAGAACCAAACATACCGTCCAAACCCCAACCCTCCAAAATTGCCCATACTGCCACAAATGCGGCACGACCTGGATATGCAGATAGAATCTCGAATCCGTAATCGTGGCGAGCAGCGCGCCAATGACGGTGCCGAAGACGAGGAATTGCGTTACGGGCGCGTTGGTGAAGCCCGAGGAGATCATCGCGTTGTAGAGAGGAGGGCGTCGCAAGGAAGGAGGGTAATGCGCATAGCGCAATTAGTTTGGAGAGTGGTTGGGCGGGTTCGATAGGTCGAAGAGTGAGGGTTGGGGACAGATTGGGAGCGATGACGATCGAGGGCGCATGTGCAAGGTGCGGAGCCAAGGGCGGAGGTGCCACAGTTGCCATTGGCACGCGAGGGGTGGAGGGCGGAATGGCCCGACTATGGGTAATTCGCATTTCGGGCGTACTTCTTCTTTGCTGACAGACATGGATGTTTTCCAGAATGCGATATCCATGAATATGCACAACTATCGGGGATTCTGTCTGTCAATGTAATGAGTCTGCTCCAGCAAGCGCTGCTGGCCAGGCTTCAAAACATGTGCAATACCTGAAATCACAGCTCACGCGACCAACAACCAAGTCAAACAACAGAATGGTTTCGTTCAAAATATCACATGTCAAAGTAGGGTACTCAGAACTATACACACAAAAACGAAAACATGACCATGGTTTCCTCGCCAGGAACGCCTCGTCGCCATAAAAAAAAGCCTAGCCTTCTCAGATCCCCCTACTCACACACGCTTATTTCTCGCCCCTGTCATCACTGCGCGCAGCCTGCTTCTTCTTCTCGACAGCCGCATGCTCATGCTTAGCCAGCTTCTCCTCGCTCGACCCCTCTTCCTTGAAAACCTTCTCGCGGTCAACAGGACCAGGGATATGTTCCGGAAGCTCGCTGCGGCTGATGAGTGTGAGGACGATACTGGCTCCGACGATGGCGGTGAGGACGAAGCGGTATACGGCGTACCAGCTAGGAGTCCAGCCGAGGCGGCTTACGCCTGTGTATCATGTTAGTGCATGGATGGGGGTGGGTTAAGGGATAAGGATAAAGGACGTACGAGTATCAACATAGTACAACCCGACGAAACCCAAAAACTGCGAGATGAGCGCGCCCTCAATAGGCATGAGCAGTGTTGACCAAGCCACCATGGGCGCTACAACACCAATCGCATAGCGCTTGTAGCCCTGTGTGCCTCCGTAGCCCGCCCATTCAAGACCCCAGTGGATAGCACCCAGGAAACTGAGGATAGACGCTCCGTATCCGATTTGCAGGGGCTCGATAAGGGAGAGGAGGTATGTAGCGTCTTTTTGCGAGAATATCATGCCGTAGCCGGCGTTGGAGTGGTTTAGTTCCCACGAGAGGTACACGGTGGAGATGGAGGTTGCGAGGTAGGGAAGCGTGCCTGCGAGACCCATGTAGTATGCTTCGCGAGGGACTTCGGCGAGGGAGAATGTGTCTTTGATGGTGCCCTGGGTTTTGTTAGTAGCTATACCTAGATTACTATGTATAAGAATGGCGTATACATACCACATCGTGCTTCAACCCCGCCGCCATATCCACGTCGTTCTGCGGCTGCTCCGTGCCAATTTCCGAAAACATGGGATGTGTGGAACTGGTGCTCGTCACAGTCTCTGGCGTGGGCTTGATCTTCTCCTGTGCATATCTACTCTCCGCCTGCTTCTGCCCTTCCGTCAATGTCTTATCAGCCATGCTGCGGCGCAAGACCGCAGACGCAGGCTTCAATTGCGCAGCAGCCGCTTGCGCTAATTGCGGTCTCCTCGCAGCCAGAGAACCAAATTGTGTAGCCCATTGCAGAGAAGGCGTTGTGCGCGTGAAGCTCGCAGCCGGTCGTGCCGACTTGGGCACTGTTACCGACCTCAGCGCAAGGCGCGACGCTCCGTTGCGAAGCATATTAGATTAACGGATAGGTAAGGTGGAATATAGAAAAGCAAGAGTGATGTACAACGCGGATTTCGTAATGTACAAAAAGCACGAGCTGGGTATATTGGGGAGAAGACAAGAGAAGATGGAGTTAGATAGTATTGCGATTGCAGCTCCAAGCTTCCCCCGCAAGTTGACGCGCGACGCCAGTCTGACGTCATGCATGGTTTTCATCATCGCCGGCCATGCTTCGGCATCGCAATCATGATCCTTGCTTGTAGTGGACCGCAACGGTGCCGCGACCCGTAAATAACGTGAAGGAGCTGTCACCATGAGACAAAATGTGCCGTTGCGCGGTGGGTCTTCTACGCCATAGTATCAACTCGATGATAACTCGGCCCAGCCTCGCTCTAGTCCGGCCATACTGACGAGTCGACCTGAAGATGACGCACGATAATATTGCTGCATTTTTCCAAGAGAAAAACTGTCTGATTAATAGAAAGAATACACATTATAGGAGTCCAATCGAAATCGCAAACTCAATCAAAAACCACGCTATGCCATGTACTCATTAACCTCATTATACTTCCCCTTCTGCTCCCTCATTCCCCATCTCAATCAACCCTTCGCATTCCACCGGTCATTATAAGCATTAACACCCACAGCAACCTGTCGGTAGAACCAGTTCCTACTCTCCTCGTCACTAACCGGGATGAAAGGCCCGTTCGTGCCTCCCTTGAGCGTGATACCCAGGCCAGTCCTCTCTTTGCTGATGGTCTGAACGTCCTTGAGCGGTACATCCCATTCAGTCTGTAGCTTCTTCGTGCGCACCATCATAAGGCCGTTGTACGTGAGCATAACGAGCATCTCCTTGTTCTGCAGCTCAAGATGCGCAATGTAGTCTTCGTTGAAGTACTTGCCGTTATCAAGTGTCTTCAGCCAGAACTGACCGAGCGCTTCGCGTTGAGAGTAGGGGCGCACGATGCCATCCGTGCCAATGAAGCGCGTGAGGCGCACGCGGTCGAGGCCTTCCTGGTCGAAGACAGTGGTGGTGTTACGCACACCTTCTGCCATGTTGGAAGCAAGGTCAAAGGCTCCGATGGCAGCCTTGGTAGGTACACCCAGCAGTCCTTTGCCGACTCCCTTTACGAAACCAAGAGCACCTTCCTTCTCAGCTCCTTGAATGGGGTGACGGGCGAGACCACCAAGACCACTGGCAAGACTACTGGCGAAGGCGTTGCCACCAGATGTGATACCGTAGAGCGCGTGCTTGGGCCTGTTGCGAGACCGCGACATGCGACGCTGGTCCTGGAACTCTTTGTCCAACGTGGCCGCAGAGAGACCCTTTGACATACTGCCAGTGAACTTGGCCATACTGTCTGAGAATCCGAATACGGACTTCTTGACGAAACTAGATGCACCCTTCGCGATACCAATACCAAGGTCTTCGGGTCGATCAGATTTGACAAGACCCTGGTACGGCTCGTAGAAAATATCTGCAACGCCAGAGCTGATGTTGTTGAACAGACCAACTGGGTTACCGAGGAAGTCGGCGGACCCGATGATGACGTGCACTTGTCGCAGCGACTCCTGCACGTAATGGTTCTTGATATTGTTGATTAATGCAGTCGTCGAGATGCGTGCGTTCTCCAGCATCAAAGAGTTGTATCGTACTGGTGCATCGTTGACGTTGCCAATCGACATGGTGAGAACATTGACTGCGAACATGAACGGATTCGAAGTGCTCATGGTGTCCTCGGCGTTGATCCGCTCTGTTCGAACGAATGACAGATCAATTTGCATAGGCTGCAGATGGAGTAGCTCAAAGTAGACGTCCTGGCCAGACTGCTCCTGCTTCGGCTCGGGAATGCTGAGATTGTCATCCCATAGCTTACCCTGCTTCTCTTCGGACCAAGAAGCGCCAGGGATATTCGCGAAGTCGATCATGGCGAAGATGAAGTCCTCGTCAATTTCTATCGTCATTTGCTGGAGGAGGAAGGTGAAGTATTTGATGTAAAGCACACCATACGAGTCGTCCTTGACCTTGGTGATGGTCGTTTGGAAGATGGGATGCGCCTCCATCTCCTTACCCGTCTTTGGAACGACACTGGGGTAGAATATGATCGGGAAGATGCCGCCGTAGAGTTGATTGTCGATCTGGATCCACTTTACTTGCATGTTGACCATCTGGTAGAGGGGCGAGTCGGAGTATTTCATCTCAATGTCGCGTAGTGTAACATACACCAGCTCCTTCAGGTGGCGGTTCACGAGCGATATGCCGATACCAGCAAGGCGTATCTGCGCCTTGAAAGTGACGTCTGTATCCATGTCCTTGACCTCGAAGCCGGTCGCCGTCGAAGATGAGCCAGTAGACTTCTGCTTGTACATACTCTTAGATGGCTTGTAGTTCGATACTTCGAGAGTCTGCGTGGGACCTTTCGCGACGACGTTCAGATCGATGACCTTCATGCCGCCACGTTCTTGGCCAGGCGGTATTTTGAATGGAATGAGCGGACCAATCTCGGCAAGCTTGACATGTCGCTCTCGGCCATTGGCGCTGATAACAATCTCCTTGTTCTTCGCAGCCGGGAAATCCCACGCATATGGCATGATACTCCTGGGAGGCAGGCGGTACCTGATCGGTCGGAAACCAGAACCGCGATCATCCTCGTCCTCATCCAGGTTGGGGTTAGCTTGCCAGTACAGGAACTCTTGGTCGCTCATATTCTTGAATGAGAACGGCCAATGCTTGTTCTCAACGCTGACATGGCAGAATATCGTTGCCGCCTCCATTAAAATGTCGACACGAACAAGCTTCTGGCGCTGTCCAGCCTTCGAAAGCTTGACATGGACGTTGCCGACGTTAGAGATGTTGAAAGGAGAAGACCACTGGTTATTAACACCAGGGTAGCAGAGGGACAACTGTGGTGCTCCACCTTGTCGCAGCCAACGAAGTGGGAAGAGCTCGCCGTCCTTGACTGTCATCCAATCAGACTGACCAGGCTCCCGAATGAGCAGCTCTTCCTTCATCTTGTTGTTGACGATGAAGCGCGGCGCGATAGAAACGGTCTTGGTCAAGTTGTACTTGCCTTCGCCCTCTGAGACAGAGACGCCCAAGTGCATATCAGAGCGTGCCTTGTTGGACGGCAAGGCTACTGTGTATGTGCTACCGATTGCATCAAAACTCTGAGGCTTGCTCCAGTTCGAGTCGCCAACCTTGATGAGAGCACGGTTCTTCTTGTTCTCTGTCGGGTAAGAGAACATAAAGGGCAAGGCCTTGCCAGCATCGTTCTGGTTGTCTGATACGACACCTTGTCCAGCAGCAGCCCTGGCTTGGCCCATGAGCTGCTGGGCTCGGACATCAAGTTGGAGGCCGGTACGGTTGAGGACGATGTAAGGACTGTAGATGGCAACCTTGAAAGCGCCACCACCATCAGGGAAGTTGCTGGGAGTTGTTAGTATATGTGCGAGTAGATCGCTTTGTATTGTGCTTACAAAAAATGCATATTGAGGTGCAGAGTAGTGTCGTTGTTGTCCTTGACCTCCAGCACCTTCTCTCTCCTAAAGCTCTCGCGATCGGTCGAATTAATGATGCCAAATTTGCTGGGCTTGAAAGGTCCATCTTGCATCTCAACACTGATGAGGAGAAGATGCGACAGTTCCACTACATGAACTGGGCTGATACCACCCTTTCTAAGGAAGTTCGTCCAGTCCTTCTTCGTGTTACTGTCGTAGATTCTATACTTGAAGTCGTATGGAAGAAGGTTATGTACTTCGACGGGTGCCTGGAGGCGTAGTCGCATGTATGGGTAGACGCCAGTCAGAGGATCCTTCTTATCGTAGGCCGCATGAAGCTGGAAGTAGAACGGAGGTGATTGATCGTCTTGCTCGCCACGGCAAGTGATCGTCCTTGTGGGTCGCTTGAGTAGGTCCTTCCAGAACAAGCGCTCGTTGGACCAAGCATAGCCGAAGCCTTGGTCGGGACGGATGACGATAGAGTGCATAAAGCAGGCACCGACAGGTGCAGGTCTGGCATCTCCAGGGGCAATCTTGTCGATCTTGAGGAGATGGCCGTCTTCCGGGCTGTACATACCAAGTTCGATCGGGATCTGAGTGTTGTTCTCTACCAACATTGGGGAACGAATGGTGATGTTCTTGATGTTGTCGGCGCCAAGCTTCACCTCAATCAATAGACGATGCTGGATGCGGTCTTGCTTCGGTTTGAGGTTGTACAAGAATTCGCCCTCTCGATGTACGGGTACACGTGTGAGAGTATCGAAGCCACTGCCTTGTAGCTTGATCCCAAGCATGCCAGTTGCGCCATCTGTGGAGAGCGTTTCTCTGGTTGACATGGGATCTTCAAATCGCCAAGGCTGCTCTTCACCATCTTCAAGCTTAGCTGCAAAGCCTTCTTGCTCTTTGCCTTCTGCCCAGACATCGAGGCTGAAACCCGTGTAGTTGCGTACACGGTACGGAGCGTCGCTACCCCGAGGCTTGGACAAGATGTCATCTTCACTGGTGAGGAAGTCGAACGATTTGGATCCCAGTGCGATCGTCGCAGCTGTTACCGTCAGTTCCATGGCTTTGCGGGAGTAGATGTCAACAGCTAATTTGTCGGGATTTTGATCTTTGGACATGTGGAAGCCAACTGCCCAAGGCTCAATAAGAGGCTCCCACGCAGACTTGGAGAAGTTGTAGACATTGACGAGGGTGTCAAGCGAGGTGTCGGCGACCATCGCTCCTGACCAGTCTCTTACGTCGACACCGAACTTCTTCACGCGCCAATCGAGCATAGGCATCTCATGTACATCGCCGATGAGAACAACGCGTATGCCTTCAACGCTAATATGAAGTTCTTCCCGCTTGAGTACAGCAGAAGAAGGGGGTGCCTGTTGCTTCCCGACCTGCTGACTAGATCGCCTGGTTGTCGCGAGAGACTTGGTCCGAGGCTTATTGGACACTGCTTTGCCTGCATGCGAAGTCCCTTTCTTTGACGGTGTGCCTGTCTTGAGCTGCTTGGCTTCTGCCGAGGGCATACTCTTTTCAGCTGGGGCTGCCATTGCCGACGCTCTGTTGACAATCTGCATAGCTAGCAGGATATCACGGAGCGACAAGCGAAGTACAAGAGGCTCAATATCGACGGTAATGCTCATCATCGAAGACTGCGAGCCTTGGTTTCTGATGTCGAGCGCTGTTTGGAT